GCCAATATTTTTTGTATTTTGAAAAAAATTTATCCTTGTTGTTTTTATTTATCGTCATGTTAATCGCCCAATCCTATAAATAAGAAACTGGGAGCAATTTAATCTACGAATATAAAATAAAAAAAAAGATTAATTTTTAATTTCCTAGTTCTTTATAAAAACTTCCAGAATCCGGTATCGTCGATGTTAAAGGCAAAACTTTAACTCTTTCCGCGACTTCTTGAAAGGATTCCAACCAACAGATAATATCGGATGACTTGATATTTGATTTTGTAATCCAATCTTTGCGAAACTTTACCTTGTAGGGGTTCATTTTGATCAGAATCTGTGTAGGTACGTACAGACGTAGATAGAGGTTGGAGATAAAGTTGGTAAACAACTTTAATCGTGCCTTTAATTGACAAATCTAAGACTTTCCTTTTAAAACAGAAATTCTACTTAAATTTTACCTTTGTTAAGTAGAAAATTACAGATAATCATTTACACAAAAACTTCAAACAAAGCCGCATAAAACCCCCTAGCAAAATTTATTACAAAACAAACCATTTCTAGCATGAGTTTTATACTCAACGTGACTAGTTTAGCGCCGGCATAAAACATAAGCATTCCAGTTGATATGAATTCAACGCGTGTGCGAAACACAACGCAATATGTCGACTGAACTTGATTAGACGGCAGGATTCCCGCGCTTTTACGCATAAAGCGTCGTACACGCTGTCACATATTTTGTAGGTTATTATTTAAATGGCCGCCAGGTGATATTAAATACAAGACGTGAATGACGCAAACTCGGAAATTGTGATTGCAAAAAGTATTCGTACAACATAGCTTCTGTTTTAGGTACTCCGATTTTATACATTTTTGCAATATACGCCGCTCTATTTTTCTTTAACAATAAAATAAATTCAAGCATGTGCAAAAAAACAAAATAAGTGGGAAAAGTTTACCAAACTGGAAATAAGCTTTTCTTGCATTTTTTGTCTTCTGACTGACTTTGATATTACGAATATCGTTTAAACAAAAATATGCGAATCGGGTTTTTTGTATGTGATAAACATGAACGACACCCAGAACAGCAGAGGAGCTGCAAGTGGGCGCCAGCCTTTTGAGGATAAAAAGTTTTCGGGTTTGGGGATTGTAGAAAGATGCGGGGAGGGGTAGGATTGGGTCACCAGCAACCTCACTCCCACGGCGAAACACAACACGAAACACAACACGGCTTTTGTTGTTTCAGGACGGTTTTCTGTTACTCCGTTCCGTTATCCACTCTAAATCCCATTTTTCAAGGTTTTATGTCTTTTATCATGTGGACACAGCCTTACATTTTTAAGATGAAAGTTAATGCTTGCGTAGAATGCGTACCAAAAATGTAGGCCTTATTTACATTATTGATTTATATCTTTGTCAAGTCACTACATATAGGACAATACGTCTGTTTGTCCGTATTTCTGTACAAGATTTTTTATTAGTAATAGGCTGACATTTGGTCACTATCTCGCCTGGTGGTAAGCGATGAATCGACCTCGGATGAGCAATCCTAACTCTAAAGCAGCCTATTCACTCGATACATTGTTTGCATCACGCACTCAGTCTTGCCAGAAGGTTACTTTTGTAACCTTTTAGATGATTTTTGAACTGCATTTTGAAATAGAAATGACAAGGACGGGTGATGTTTAATCGGTTGCTAAGCAACACAAGTTTTTATAAGTAAGGGAGTAAAAGTTCAATTGAAATGATTATTTTACCTTTCAATAAAAAATCTTGAATAATCATGTAGTTTTTTTTAAACTTTTGTACATGTCTGTACTAAATTTATAACACTATCCTACATATTTTAGAAGGTACCATAATGTTCTGCGTTTTCGCTTTTTCGTAACCACCTAAACTTGGTCGGCTTACCACGGTCATTCACTTCCTAATGACTTTAATAGTATTATCTCATTAATTATCCAATGTATTGACCTGAAATTTTACTGATATACAACTGATCTAAACAACTAATCATTGACATAACATTCAGTTCATATATCCAATCTAGTGGCCAAATATCACCGCGTGCATTAAGACCGTGCTCGTGAAGAACTGAATATCATCATAACTTGTTAAATACTTACGGGATACTAATGAAACTTCACATACATTTGAAGGCAGTTACAAGCTTTAAAATTACGTTTAAAGTAAGTCTTTAGACTTCTTATTGAGAGTGCTGGGGCCAATTGAAGTGTTTTTCTATTTAATAAAAAAACCTTTAAAATATGCATTATTTTGGTTTTGTTATTTTATTATTGCACAACAAATTTAAACTAAGTCCTCGGAAGTCGTGTACAAAATATGATAAGAATCCACTTAACCATTTCAAAGATCTAGCAAAACCAAAAACGTTACCGCAGCAAAATCTCGTATAACTTCGCAACCGAAGAAAGAACAAATACAAAATAAGGCACAACATTTACTTTATCTAGACAACTAATTTTATAGCTAATATTTATTAAAATATTCCCATTAGAAAGAAAAAGGTCTGGCTGTGGTAACGTTACGCCAGCAGGAAATGTTTTTGTTAAATAATTAAAAAACTATAAGCGCAACAATAAAAATGTGCGCAACAATTACAGAAGCCGCACAACTAATTATCTATAAGATTCAAATGACCATTGTCGACAACATCTGGCCTGGGTAACGGACACTTAGAAGTTCGCTTTGGGCCTGTACCAGTTGACCGTCTTTGATCTCTTGGCACGCTCTCAGTGTGTTCTAGTGTGTCTACCTAGTGTCTGATATTTTAACACCTAATAACAATTATGAAAAATTTGCATCTTATGATGGAAAATTAAGGAAAGGCCGGATATAATAACAAGATTAATAAGTAGGTATAGTTCAGTATATTATGTATATTTTATATTATGGTATATACATTTATGGTATACCTAATAGAACTTTCTTGCTTCTTACATCTGCCACTGGATTGTCTCTGCATCACCCAAAAGTTGGCTGTAATAAGTCCGTTTTATGTAGGTACAGTGTTTTTGTGCATGAGGTGAGTACATGAGGCAAAGCAGGGGCGGGCCGCTAGTTTGTGAATTAAAATTTTTGTTAGTTCCCACATGACACAGAAAAATATTCCGCTGTTGGTCGTCGTTCAAATAAAAAGTAAGTAAATATTTCCTATTTTGAATCTTCAAACAAGAAATCGAGAGACGCTCGTTGACGTGTTTTGCTTTCTTTTATAACAACCTTAAAAAAGGAGATATTTTCAAATAAAAGATAAAATCTATTTCAAGAATCATTTTATTGTTTACAAATTGCTTATTACCTGCCAGTGTTTACTGTCATCTAACTCATATTAATTCGCCATTGATGATAATAATAGTAAAACTGAAAAAAGAACATCCTATGCCAGTCAAACAATTTTTTTACAAATTTACACATACTATGAAAAGGTTACAGACTTACAACCCGGGAAGATAGGACAGAAAAACCATTCAGGCCACCGAAAGGGCTAAGCATGTCATTTAAAAATAAAAAATCACACAAACAAATGATTAAAACCACTTCCGAAGTCGTTTTTTAATTTATTTTATTTATACACCTATATTTTTGATTTTGTAGACTATACACATAATTGTAAAATACTAAACATTTTAAGAAATAAACTGTTACAACCCTGGCTTAATAAAAACAAAAAAAAACAATTATTTTAAAAAGAATAAAACACATATAAGATTGAGCAGTGTACAATAAATATTTTCTTTATAAAACTACTTAACACTAGGGCGGAATTTAAATAAACAATTTTTATTTTTATTCAACTTTTTTGCTAAGTTCACCTCGTCCCCCATCCAACATAAAATAACGAATCTTGGTGATAATGAAACCATGCGATTATAGCTTTTTTTACTAACAGAGTAAGTCTGATTTTCGCTAATAATTTGAGTCGCAATACAACATGTTTATTTAGAAAATATTTTACGTAAGTAACTAATGGGTAGACATGTTTTAATTAGGACAGCTGTTATCCACGATTGTTACATCCCATACCATTCGATATAAAAATATCTTTCCGTAAAATAAATTCTAATTGAATATTCATATTAAACATGGAAATATATTTTTCTAAATATGACGAGAACAAAATTTAAGTTACGGTAAAGCTGGTTTTTAGTACAGACTTAGTGATTTTTTTTCACGTGTTTCTACTCTTTAGCTGTTATGAAGTTTCGGATAAAAGAGTGACCGATATTTGATCCTTTAAGTCTCCAAATTATAAATGGTACGTTTCTTGGTGATATTCTATGGATAAAAATGTATCGACCGCCGCAATCATTCATCCAATGTCCACTTTACCCAGCTACTAAAGAAAACGGTTACTAAGTACGGTAGCAAGACAATTATTCCAATTATTTCAATTACTTTAATCAAAAACTATAATAAAAACGAATGATTAAGCATCGATTTGGCACTTTCCATATACAGCTTTAAATCACAAAATCAAATATAGGTCACTTCTTTCCAAAGCTGAGCAATGTTGCCATAACTATAAAAGTGTTGCCACAGAAAAAAATAAAAGCTGGCAAGCTTCGGTATCACATTTACAAATTTACGAAATTATGAAACCTGTGATTGGAAGTTTTATATAAATTATACTATATATAAAATAAACTGTGATGGCTAGCTCAGACTAACATCTTGAAGAATAAGATTCAGAAGTCACTCCAACCTGTCAATGCTTTTCATTGCATTTTCGACTTTACACTGTCAAGGAATTAAGTTGAGAATCTAATAAATTAGACAAAAGGTTGACCCGCTGGCCACTGTAATAAGTGGGCGCAAAAAGATTGTAGCAACTGGTTATATTAGTTAAGCACGTAAGAAAATAAACAAAGATTCAAGTATAGAGACAAACTTTTGTTTGTAAATAGAATAAAATGTGATTGGCCACTGAACCGACCAATAGTAAGAAGGGCTTTTGTTTAAAATCATACAATTTAGTTTAGCTTCTGTCTCTTTTTTTTCTTACATTTAGGGCTGATCTTAGCATCAAATAACTTGGCTGGTTGTTCTATGTTCATTATAACGAACAACTTTAAAAATTTTAGAGTTAAAATATTGCACCTTCCTTTCTTCCAAGTAGGTTATGTTTTCATCATTTCACAGAAAGAAGTAAATAATCCTATCCCCAAACTCTGTATATTATTGAATCTAAATATGGAACTGAATTACTTCATTTTTCTAGAAGTTTCTACACAACTTATTGATGTGCAAGTAACGTCTTGGGATTTAATTGGGGGAACGATTACAACGGAAGCATTATAACAATATTTTAATATACATTGGCAAAATAACATGTCAGGCCCTTTAAAATAGACCACAAAAATATTACAATAATTAATAATAACAAGTAAAATAAGTCTAAGAAAATTGTTTTATGAGATATTAAATTATGTCGTACGTATTAATCACGTAACTGTTCGAGGTAAGCCGACTAGTTTCACCGCATGGGCTCTAGCGTGACTCGAAACTGATCCGGTTACCTCGTTAACCAGTTACGTAAGCAAGCCATACATCATAATTAATCTAAGAAAATATGTGATTCTATACACTGGCTAGTTACTTGCACAATGAAAAAGCGTCTTATGAAAAAAATGCTGTAAGTACGGGAGCGATTATGTGCATTCAAAAATAATTTAGTGGCATTTTCAACCTTAAAATTACTTGCATCAAGATTAATTTAGTACGATTCAGGTTATGTTCTGAATTTAAATTTGATTTTATTTTATACAGCCCATGCACACCGCTCCCTTTCAGTAAAGGTTGTACTTAAATAGAAACATGTGGCAATTAAAACGTGTCTAGTCGATATAAACCCAATTCTCTCTCACTTTCGTGTCTTTTAAATAATTATTTATAATCTTTTTTCACATAAAAATAAATTTCATGCCAATTGACTTAAAATAAATGCGAACGATCGACTCTTAATCGATAAAAGTTTAATCGATTATCACCACGTGAATTACTAATTAGGCTCAAGCTTTTAATTCTAACTACGATTTAAAATCGATTTTATTTTCAAACAACTCCATAATCGATTAAAATTTCACTCGATTAAGCATAATCGATTTCTAACATTTAGTGATTTTCTTTAGCTATTTTTGGTAAAAGTTCCACATGTTTATCGAGTAGTCACATACAATCGAGTGGATATCGATACTTAAACTTAAGAAAACGTTCCGGTCCGTGACAGAGGCAGTGTGAAGAGACGATTCACAAAGTGCTATTTACTTAGCTTGGCTCCAATAAATAGTGTGGCCATGAGATCTAACGTTTCTATACAAGGAATGCCAACATTGTTGTTTAAAAGTTAAGTGACTAAAACATTTTTATTTACAAGATACATGTAGTAGTGATACGACTAATTCAAATGACTTTGCACCGTGGTATTATGGGTGCTAAAACTCATTTTCGCATATTACTGTTCTACGAACATTAAAATGCTGACCTCCACCGCGTAAAATTATAATTTAAAGTTTAACCCTCGACTTTACCGTTCGAAATGATCACTTAGCGAGGTTGCCCTAAGATCCCTATAAAACAAAGTTTCGCTTATAAGAAGGGTAATAATTACAGAGATCGATGGTGTCTATCACACGCCCTGTCACGAGTGACGTCACAGTGATGACGTCATTGTTCAGTTGGCGGGGACGGTGCTCTGTTGTTGTTTGTGTCGCCTGTGGTCGTAGTTGACGAGTCGCTGCCCGACGAGGTACTTGTCGTTCTTTATGTGCTCGTATAGCTTGCGGAACTGACGTATCTGCAGGAGAAATGTTTGATTTAGCTATTATTGGAATATATTTATGTATGGGTAAGAGAACAATCTTTTACCCATACATAAATGACAACATTTGTTTCGGATTTTATTCAAATTCGTTAAAGACAAAGATAATAATTATAAATAATTTGTGAAATATTTATAGAATTTTATTGCCTGCTGAAGTCGGGAGCTAAAACCTTGTTAATATAATGTAAGCCACTTTGGAAAACCAAACAAATCAAATGATTGCAAACAAACAGAGACACCTGCAACAGCAGAGGAGATACGAGTGCATTGCCAGTCTTTCGAAAATTAAGGTTTTGAAGACTAAATCGGATTGGGTAAACGGGGGGACGACAGGACGGGAAGGATTTGGCCTCGGATAACGTCACTCGCACGGTGAACACAACGCAATTATTGTTTCACGCTGGTTTTCTGTGAGGCCACGGCCTCACTCGCTGAAGCTTTGGTCTCCCACTCGCTTTATCTGTAAGCAAAGTCTCTTAGTGGAGCTTTGCCTGTATAGAGCGGTGTGAGTGGGTACGGTACCTGGAAGACGGTGAGCGCGAGCACGAGCGCGGTGAGCAGTAGCGCGGGGTAGACGCGGCGCGCGAGCAGGTTGCGCCTGTATAGAGCGGTGTGAGTGGGTACGGTACCTGGAAGACGGTGAGCGCGAGCACGAGCGCGGTGAGCAGTAGCGCGGGGTAGACGCGGCGCGCGAGCAGGTTGCGCCTGTATAGAGCGGTGTGAGTGGGTACGGTACCTGGAAGACGGTGAGCGCGAGCACGAGCGCGGTGAGCAGTAGCGCGGGGTAGACGCGGCGCGCGAGCAGGTTGCGCCTGTATAGAGCGGTGTGAGTGGGTACGGTACCTGGAAGACGGTGAGCGCGAGCACGAGCGCGGTGAGCAGTAGCGCGGGGTAGACGCGGCGCGCGAGCAGGTTGCGCCTGTATAGAGCGGTGTGAGTGGGTACGGTACCTGGAAGACGGTGAGCGCGAGCACGAGCGCGGTGAGCAGTAGCGCGGGGTAGACGCGGCGCGCGAGCAGGTTGCGCCTGTATAGAGCGGTGTGAGTGGGTACGGTACCTGGAAGACGGTGAGCGCGAGCACGAGCGCGGTGAGCAGTAGCGCGGGGTAGACGCGGCGCGCGAGCAGGTTGCGCCTGTATAGAGCGGTGTGAGTGGGTACGGTACCTGGAAGACGGTGAGCGCGAGCACGAGCGCGGTGAGCAGTAGCGCGGGGTAGACGCGGCGCGCGAGCAGGTTGCGCCTGTATAGAGCGGTGTGAGTGGGTACGGTACCTGGAAGACGGTGAGCGCGAGCACGAGCGCGGTGAGCAGTAGCGCGGGGTAGACGCGGCGCGCGAGCAGGTTGCGCCTGTATAGAGCGGTGTGAGTGGGTACGGTACCTGGAAGACGGTGAGCGCGAGCACGAGCGCGGTGAGCAGTAGCGCGGGGTAGACGCGGCGCGCGAGCAGGTTGCGCCTGTATAGAGCGGTGTGAGTGGGTACGGTACCTGGAAGACGGTGAGCGCGAGCACGAGCGCGGTGAGCAGTAGCGCGGGGTAGACGCGGCGCGCGAGCAGGTTGCGCCTGTATAGAGCGGTGTGAGTGGGTACGGTACCTGGAAGACGGTGAGCGCGAGCACGAGCGCGGTGAGCAGTAGCGCGGGGTAGACGCGGCGCGCGAGCAGGTTGCGCCTGTATAGAGCGGTGTGAGTGGGTACGGTACCTGGAAGACGGTGAGCGCGAGCACGAGCGCGGTGAGCAGTAGCGCGGGGTAGACGCGGCGCGCGAGCAGGTTGCGCCTGTATAGAGCGGTGTGAGTGGGTACGGTACCTGGAAGACGGTGAGCGCGAGCACGAGCGCGGTGAGCAGTAGCGCGGGGTAGACGCGGCGCGCGAGCAGGTTGCGCCTGTATAGAGCGGTGTGAGTGGGTACGGTACCTGGAAGACGGTGAGCGCGAGCACGAGCGCGGTGAGCAGTAGCGCGGGGTAGACGCGGCGCGCGAGCAGGTTGCGCCTGTATAGAGCGGTGTGAGTGGGTACGGTACCTGGAAGACGGTGAGCGCGAGCACGAGCGCGGTGAGCAGTAGCGCGGGGTAGACGCGGCGCGCGAGCAGGTTGCGCCTGTATAGAGCGGTGTGAGTGGGTACGGTACCTGGAAGACGGTGAGCGCGAGCACGAGCGCGGTGAGCAGTAGCGCGGGGTAGACGCGGCGCGCGAGCAGGTTGCGCCTGTATAGAGCGGTGTGAGTGGGTACGGTACCTGGAAGACGGTGAGCGCGAGCACGAGCGCGGTGAGCAGTAGCGCGGGGTAGACGCGGCGCGCGAGCAGGTTGCGCCTGTATAGAGCGGTGTGAGTGGGTACGGTACCTGGAAGACGGTGAGCGCGAGCACGAGCGCGGTGAGCAGTAGCGCGGGGTAGACGCGGCGCGCGAGCAGGTTGCGCCTGTATAGAGCGGTGTGAGTGGGTACGGTACCTGGAAGACGGTGAGCGCGAGCACGAGCGCGGTGAGCAGTAGCGCGGGGTAGACGCGGCGCGCGAGCAGGTTGCGCCTGTATAGAGCGGTGTGAGTGGGTACGGTACCTGGAAGACGGTGAGCGCGAGCACGAGCGCGGTGAGCAGTAGCGCGGGGTAGACGCGGCGCGCGAGCAGGTTACGCCTGTATAGAGCGGTGTGAGTGGGTACGGTACCTGGAAGACGGTGAGCGCGAGCACGAGCGCGGTGAGCAGTAGCGCGGGGTAGACGCGGCGCGCGAGCAGGTTGCGCCTGTATAGAGCGGTGTGAGTGGGTACGGTACCTGGAAGACGGTGAGCGCGAGCACGAGCGCGGTGAGCAGTAGCGCGGGGTAGACGCGGCGCGCGAGCAGGTTGCGCCTGTATAGAGCGGTGTGAGTGGGTACGGTACCTGGAAGACGGTGAGCGCGAGCACGAGCGCGGTGAGCAGTAGCGCGGGGTAGACGCGGCGCGCGAGCAGGTTGCGCCTGTATAGAGCGGTGTGAGTGGGTACGGTACCTGGAAGACGGTGAGCGCGAGCACGAGCGCGGTGAGCAGTAGCGCGGGGTAGACGCGGCGCGCGAGCAGGTTGCGCCTGTATAGAGCGGTGTGAGTGGGTACGGTACCTGGAAGACGGTGAGCGCGAGCACGAGCGCGGTGAGCAGTAGCGCGGGGTAGACGCGGCGCGCGAGCAGGTTGCGCCTGTATAGAGCGGTGTGAGTGGGTACGGTACCTGGAAGACGGTGAGCGCGAGCACGAGCGCGGTGAGCAGTAGCGCGGGGTAGACGCGGCGCGCGAGCAGGTTGCGCCTGTATAGAGCGGTGTGAGTGGGTACGGTACCTGGAAGACGGTGAGCGCGAGCACGAGCGCGGTGAGCAGTAGCGCGGGGTAGACGCGGCGCGCGAGCAGGTTGCGCCTGTATAGAGCGGTGTGAGTGGGTACGGTACCTGGAAGACGGTGAGCGCGAGCACGAGCGCGGTGAGCAGTAGCGCGGGGTAGACGCGGCGCGCGAGCAGGTTGCGCCTGTATAGAGCGGTGTGAGTGGGTACGGTACCTGGAAGACGGTGAGCGCGAGCACGAGCGCGGTGAGCAGTAGCGCGGGGTAGACGCGGCGCGCGAGCAGGTTGCGCCTGTATAGAGCGGTGTGAGTGGGTACGGTACCTGGAAGACGGTGAGCGCGAGCACGAGCGCGGTGAGCAGTAGCGCGGGGTAGACGCGGCGCGCGAGCAGGTTGCGCCTGTATAGAGCGGTGTGAGTGGGTACGGTACCTGGAAGACGGTGAGCGCGAGCACGAGCGCGGTGAGCAGTAGCGCGGGGTAGACGCGGCGCGCGAGCAGGTTGCGCCTGTATAGAGCGGTGTGAGTGGGTACGGTACCTGGAAGACGGTGAGCGCGAGCACGAGCGCGGTGAGCAGTAGCGCGGGGTAGACGCGGCGCGCGAGCAGGTTGCGCCTGTATAGAGCGGTGTGAGTGGGTACGGTACCTGGAAGACGGTGAGCGCGAGCACGAGCGCGGTGAGCAGTAGCGCGGGGTAGACGCGGCGCGCGAGCAGGTTGCGCCTGTATAGAGCGGTGTGAGTGGGTACGGTACCTGGAAGACGGTGAGCGCGAGCACGAGCGCGGTGAGCAGTAGCGCGGGGTAGACGCGGCGCGCGAGCAGGTTGCGCTGGGCGGGCGCGGCGACGACGAGCGGCAGCACGGAGTGCGCGAGCGCGTACGGCACGGCCAGCGCCAGCCCCAGCCAGCACACGCACGGCGCCGCTATCTCGCGCAGGATGAATCTACACACACAACAACATTGCATTACTATTTCGAGGATGCTCGACTCGTTTCGAGTGACAGTAGGGACCATAAATTGTTAACCTTATAATATGCAGCGAAAGCAAAAGTAATAGACATTAATGTTCATAATTTACAACTTATATTTTCTTGTATAAATATCAACTCCCTTGTATTTGTTGCAAAACAAAAATTGTAAAAACTTTTTTCTGATAAAATAAACTTATAATTATTATTCCTAATGACAATAAAAAGGCCAAAAACATTCATAGATAAATAATTAAATAATGTACATACTTGAGGTCCATCTCTCTGATTCCGTCTCGATACGCCTTCTCAATAGCTCGTCGCATGGCCCAGTCTGGGCCCATCATTGTAAGAGCACAAACTATCTTCGTGTATAGCACACCCAGCGCCCAATCCTGCCATACAAACAGTACCGGGGACTGCTCGATTGGCACGCGAAGTGGAATCACTAGTACCTGAGGATAAGGTTTAAAATTGCATGACATTGTATGTTTTGAATCAGTGAAGGAACATAGTTTGAATAATATAATACTACATTTTTGTTCAACGAGTAAGTCTTGATGCACACATTTAAGTATTAAGTATAAATAGTTTTTTTCACTACATGATATAAAACAAAGTCGCTTTCTCTACGACCAGGAAAGAAGCCGAGGAGTGGCAATTCTCAAAATAAATGTTGCCATATTATGTTACGTTTTTTAAGGGATAGTATATCAGCAAACACGCAAGTGGTAAGGGGCAACGCTAATAAGCAAAAAACATATTTTACAGCGGTATTTTGTTAAACTATTACTCCGGTCAATGTGAAACAACCGGCCAATTCGCATCAAACCGTAGCGATCCCACACTTAAATGTATGTGATGGCGCTTCAATTATTTAAATTGAATTTTGAAGGAGGTTTTATCACAATTTATCGGACGAGAGTGCAACGAATCGTACTCTCACGGAACGTCAAACAGTTCTGCGTGCGCATTATGGTGGAGAGCGAGCGCTGTGACTGTCATATGAGACGTATCGCCGACGTTCGTTATTTTAGTAGTTTATTCGGTCTGATTATAAAATCCTACGCCCTGCGATGGACTGTGAAGACGATGATCGGGATGTTGATGTTTGTACCAACCCCCCGGTGCCTTCATATGTATACATTTTACCATAATAAACAATAATGTAAAGTCTTTTTAACATGAAAGAAAAACGAGACAGTGGATATAACTCACCAATTCAAGTAGCAAGCCAAACATGAGCGGTACAAGTCCCAGTAGCGCCAGTGCAGCGAGCGCGGCGCGCGCGGCGACGCGGGCCCAGAGCGCGGCGCGCGCCGCCAGCATGGCGCGGCCCCCGCGCGCCCAGCCCGCCGCCAGCGTGCCGCCCCGACCCACCGCCCAGCATACGTACATACCTACGACAATTTACCTTGTCAGTGGATCATCAAAATCAAAATCAGATCACACACATCATCAGCCTATAAGTGCTTACTGCTGAGCATCATCATTATCATCATCAGCCGGAAAACTTCCACTGCTGGACAAAAACCTCCCCCTTAGCCCTCCACGTCGAACGACAATTTGCCACCTGCATCCATTATTAGCTTCCTGCGACTCTGACTATGTCGTCGGTCCACTTAGCGGGAGGCCTGCCCACACTACGTTTTCCGGTACTTGGTCGCCACTCTAGCACTTTTCGGGTCCGTCTTTCGAGCGACGTGGCCTGCCCATTGCCACTTTAGCCTGCAGATATTACCAGCTATTGTCGGTGACTTTGGTTCTTTGGCGAATTTCCACATTTTGGACTTCGCACAAAGAGACCCCGAGCATAGCTCTATCGCGCGCTGAGCGACTGCTGACGATAACCAGCTCATTTTCCGGTGTGGACTATCCACGGAAAGTGCAGTATTGTGTGTTAATTTTGCATGCTGTTTTTTTGTCAGTGGATCATCAAAGTCAATATCAAAATCTTTTTTTTTTTTTTTATGTGATACGTCGGCAAACGACCAGCCGCATTACCTGATAGCAAGCAATCAGCGCCTCGCATGGACACTCGAAACAACAGAGGAGTTACAAGTGCGTTGAACATTTGGGGACTAAGGTTTTGGTAAGGGATTGGGGCCGACCCATTCGTACAAAGATGAAAAAAAAACAACCACGTACCACAGGCCGCAGTATACAATTCGTGAACTCCATCCGATGCCTTGGGCAGCCACAACGCCATCACTCGTCTTCCAATAGCGACAGGAATCACCTGTAATGCGAAAACACGCATATAATTTTAGAATTAAACAAAAAGTATGCCTATATGTTTTTATGAAACAGAGAGTAAATTTCCTTAAAATCGGAAAAAAGGACCCTCTGACTAGGCGAGTTGCTTAACTTGGGGGGCTACACCCCAACAGTTGTACGTTGGGAGTTTCTATTAGTGTTCATTCGCGAACTTTACTTGCGTGATGTAGGTAGTACTTGTGACGCCATCTATTGAACTTTGTCGTTACTATGCGCATCGCCATAATATATATATCTTCATTGAAGCACTTAGTAGGCAATTTACACTACTTAAGTAGTTATTGTAAATTGTTGTAATCGACATGTGTCTATTATCTGTGGAAGCTTGTCATTAGCGATATCATTACTCGCATATTTAGCGCAATGACTTCTAGAGCGGTCGGTCAGAAGTAATAAAAGTACCAGCCAGATTCAGTCATATTTTTCTTATTATGTAAAATGAAACTGTTTAAATATAATATACAGTTATACATTTTAATGACTTCAGCTATAGTTTATATTACTTTAAATCTTTTAGTTTTTATTACACTTTACAGAATATACATGTTCACGTAACTATTCAAGATTGCTCGACTGGTTTCAAGTCACGACCGGGGCTCATAATCACGGCGTCATACCGCTAGATGAGACATTATAATATAAATCTTACCAAGGTAAGTGCACTGGCCATGACGAGTGACATGGAGACCAGTACCAACAAGGCACCCAGCCGGAGTGGGAACCAAGATACCCGGACGTAAGGCTCGAAACCTGCTGGTCCGTCACGACGCATCAAAGCCTGGAACAATTACAATACTTTATAATACTGTTGTTTTTTCTTTAACTTTGCCATGCACTAGGATTTTCTCCTGTATGGTGGGTAACAATAGGTGGGACAAACATAGAATTTCACATACACATCACATCGAGGCCCGGAACAACAATTTGTGGATCACACAAAAAGTTGTTCCGGAAGCAACGCGGCACGGTAGCCAGTTGCTTATTTTCATCATAATTTAGATTTTTTATTGGAATATAACGACATAATCACGTGAATTAATAAAAGCTGTACTAGTGCCAAGTCACAACTAGACTCTTATTCATGAGCGCGTCGGGACTTTTTCTTGGTTAATTTACACGAGTAAGGGCAGATTTTAATAGACAGATAAATGTAATCTGAGGAATAAAATTGTTGCTGTCACTGTCTTATACAAACATTCTGACGCGACAGCAACATACAATAATTATTCCCCAGATAACTTTAGCGAACCATGGAAAAATCAGCCCTAGGTCGTTATTTTTCAATTATATGAGTATGTCTCACGATAATAGTTACTATTTTAAAAATAGTGCATTCTTCTTACTTGAATAAGTATATAAGAAAATTTTTTTCGATCTACAGTTGTTTTTTTTTTTTTGTTGAGGGAAAATCATCAAATGACTTCTCTTGATTTGATATGAATTATTATTTTGTGTAAAAATAAAGCTCTTTCTTTTAAAAAGGCCGTCGGAACACAATTGAGTAAAAAAAATTATGTAATGGCAACCGTAACCAAACAACAAGACTGCATGACATGCTCAAAACCTACACTTTTTTCAAAAATACCTTATTTCATTAACAGATCCTATTATCCATTTAATTACTTAAGCCTTTGACTGCGGATAGAAAATTATTGAAGGGAAATCCTTCGCTATCGTCTGTCACCGGTGACCTCCGTTTAATCCGACCGGCGATTATCGTGTTAAGCAACAAAATACCTGATGAGCAGCTCCAAGTTGGTGTGGAGGACGTGGTGGATGAGGCATCGGCTGGTCGTGTCGCATCTCTCCCAGTAAATAGGAGCGCAGCCCAAGGATTCCGGCCGCGCATGCGCACCACGCCCTCACTCCCGCCTTCAGCCATGTACGAGTGTGCGACTGCTCCAACAACGCTGGGAGAATCACCTGCGAACAAATAATATTAACTCTTGTCAACCTTTTCCCCTATTATTTGGGATATTTAGAGTCGTATGTCCCCGAAACGCAATAAGGTAGATTTTTCTTTGGACTTTATGATGGGCATTCCACCCTATCCTGACTGTCGTAGAATTTTGGCAGTTTGCAAGTTTTTTAATTCACATCGTGTAACATATTATTCAGTGTTGTTAATAAAAAAAAACTAGAGAATTTGTATCTAAATTCGATTTGTTACTATCGCACGCAAGTGACATACACCAGCGAAATAAAGGACTTCAAATCTGTTATGTTATCTAGATAATATAGATAAAGGAACATGTAAACGTATTTTTTTTATGTAATAGGTCGGCAAACGAGCCGACGGATTACCTGATGGTAAGCAATCAGCGCCGCCCATGGACGAGAGGAGTTACGAGTGCGTTGCCGACCTTTTAGGGATTAGGGATTTGGAGATTTAGGGATTGAGCAGGGATTGGGGGAGGGGAAGGATTAGGCCTCCAGTAACCTCACTCACACGGCGAAACATAACGCTATGGTCATTTCACGCCGGTTTTCTGTGAGGCCGTGGTATCACTCCGGTCGAGCCGACCCATTCGTGCCGAAGCTTGTCTCTCCCACACTTGAAAAACTTTTATCGGGGGAAATCATCATATCGTCTTCAACCCCGTTCTTCTCCAAGGCCGCGGTACCCACTTTATGGCGCTTGACCCTTTAGCCCGGCTGAACGGTAAAGATAGGTCTATCTACATACTTGATTGACGAAAACCTATAACGATGTATTAAGAAAAATACATAAAAAATGTACTTACCAAATGTGGTATATCCAACTGTAAGCCATGTAAGATACCAATACAATTTTGTCTCAAGTTTACTTAAAATAAAAATGATAAGGAAATAAATAAAATCGACAAATTATTAGAGGCCCTCTTCATACCTATTAGCTAAAGTATGAAGCCAATTGTTTGTGCTTTTCATATTCTAGCCAGACCCAAATAAAAGCATTTATCTAGCGCAAAGTGGATCACGAATTCAATATCTCCATATAGATCACTACCGCCATTTCAGGGATGACAAAATATTGGTAGAAAAATCAACGTAAATGTGGCAACACTACAAATGTCAAACTAACAAGCAATTAGAGGATTGAACGTTACATAACTACTACAAAGGTAAAGTTCGTAAATTCTATAAAACGCTGTCACCAATTGACTCTGGCAGAATAGTCGACAACATTAACTGGAGAATCAGTAGCCATGGAAGAAAAATGGAGGCAAAGGCTGCTAACATTATGACTTAATTCACCAGATCAACATAAACAAAACCTATAAATCAACAACCGAACTGGGCCTTCTCTTAATTATAAGAGGTTAGCCGTAATCTTTTCGCTTACCAGGCGGGTGGCAATACTAATAATATTTCTATTAAAGTTACTACTATGTAACACGTATTAAGATAGTAACTAAATTCACCAGATCAATATCAACAAAACGTTTAAGTCCACGACAGAACAATGGGCTATCTCTTTGTTGGATTACACGTAACTATTCAAATTTTATTAACTCCTCTAATGACTTCTCTAACCCTGTATGGGCGCACTCGATCTCGAGGCCGGGGCCACCATATTCCCAGTTCCTAAACATTAGCCCCATTGGCCCCATCTCTGGTGGTCTTATGGATATTTGAGGCGCGCGAGTGCAAATCTGACCCTCAAAGGCCGAAGACATGTTAATGAAATCTCATTAAAATATACGAGCAGAATACAAAGTATTACAACATATAAATAAGTAAACATTATGTTAATATGGATCGACTGATTGTAGTAGCGTCGAACAACAACCTGTTTTACATACGTCGGCAACCACTTTCCTTTATACAAATAATTGATGAATTCTTTATTGAGGAAATCAGTAGCGTGTCAATACTTGGAACAATTAATTTTATTATAAACTTTTTGGTTTTGGTTTTTGATATATAGCATTATTATAGCATTCAATATTAACTCTGTTATAAAAAATATAACAGATATTAGTTTTAGGGACGAATCTGTGCTGTCTAGGCTACCTAACAACACAGAGATAGATTTAAACTAGATTTTAAGACAACAGAACATACCATCATATATAATGTTAGTAGTAAGGTATATTCTGGCAAAAAAAAACTTATATCAAATGTTGTTACACAGGCTCAGGGGAAGCACAATCTTATCTTATTTTATATTAATATTCAGGGCTGCTCCTCTAAATTATTTGAATTAGAAATGTTCCTCGAGAAAACACAATTTGATATTGTGTGTTTAGCGGAACATTGGATGAAAGAGGACCAATTAATATCTTTTAATTTTGATAATTATATTGTAATAAGTAATTTTAGTAGAAAATATATGTTACATGGTGGGTCCTTAATTTTAGTTAAAAATGGCATTAAGTCCAAAGAAAGGAAAGATATTGTAGCACTGTCAGTTGAACACACTATTGAGTTGTCCTGTGTTGAGCTGGATAAACATGTTGTTGTTTGTGTTTATAGACCACCTAATTATCAGAATCTTGCAGTGTTTGATTCAGTAATGGAAGATGTTTTGAAGAAGGTATGTTCTAGCCATAAATCAGTACTTGTATGTGGCGATTTTAACATTAATTTATTGGAAAACAATGCAGGCAGCATGGAACTATTAAATTTGTTTGGATCATTTAATTTAAAAAATGTTTTTCTGGAACCGACTAGGATAACACCATCCACTGCCACATGTATTGATAACATTTTTAGTAACAGTTACTATTTAGAAAAAAAAATTTTAAACAGTTTACCTTCTGACCACAGTGGTCTTGTGGTAACTTACAGCACTTATTTGCCTCTACAAAAAATTCAAATAAAGTTTAGACATATTACAAATAGAAATTTAGAGAAACTCAATAATTCAATAGCAACTAAATTAAGTGTACAAAATTTTGATGTCATTAATCCGAGCAGGTTATACGAAAAATTTTTTGCGGTGTTAAATAGGGAATTTCAAGCTATTTTGCCAATGAAATGTAAAGACATCTATTCTAAGTTTCAGTTTAGCGATTGGGCAACCGTAGGTATTCGTAAGAGTAGAGATAAACTTTTTGAACTTTATGGCATGAAACCATTCAATTGCGACCCCCTTTTTCATCAACATGTAAAATTGTACTCAAAAACATTTAGAATAGTATGCAAAGCCGCAAAGCGACTTTTCATCAGTAATAAAATAAAATCAGCTGATGACAAGATAAAGGCTACGTGGAAAATAATACAGAATGAGACAGGTAGGAAACGATTAAAAAATTCGGAATTTTGTTTAAACACTGAAAGGGGACAGATTTCGTCAAGTAAAGATGTAGCTCAGGAGTTTGAGGCATTTTTTGCTAATATACCTGTCTCAACAACTGCTCATTTAGAATCATCAGCTAGACTATCGGTAACTTTGCTTAGAGAAAATGTCAAATCATGCAAAGACGATTTTAGTTTTCATTATACTAATCCTTTAGAGATAATAAAGGTTTTTAAAGAAATCAAGATTAAATCAACTGAGGACCTTTGGGGACTATCGGTGAAAGTCTGCGGATCACTTATCCGAACTTTAGCGCCGTATCTGGCTTTGATTTTCAATAAAAGTATAGATGACGGTGTCTTCCCCAACCTAATGAAATACAGTAAAGTTATTCCATTATTCAAAAATGGTGACACTAAGGAACCAAACAACTATAGGCCTGTGTCTGTTCTACCGGTTCTTAGCAAAGTGTTTGAAAAGTTAATGCAATCTCGGATGCTTCATCACTTTGATAAACATGCCATCTTTCATCACCAACAATACGGTTTCACTAAAGGTCGTTGTACAACTGACGCCGGTGTCACTTTGATAAAGGAGGTATTCGGTGCTTGGGAGGAAGCACAGGATGCTGTTGGTGTCTTTTGCGACCTCTCAAAGGCGTTCGATTGCGTTGATCATGAAACACTCTTGCTGAAATTAGATCATTACGGGATTAGACATACTGCACTCCGTCTACTAAAGTCATATTTAGAGGATAGGCAGCTGAGAGTTCATGTAGGTGGTTCTAACTCACGGGGCTCTGAGATAAAAATTGGCGTACCGCAAGGTTCAATTTTGGGTCCGTTTCTCTTCTTAGTTTATGTTAATGACTTGCCATTTCTATTTAAAACCGAGCCAAGAATGGTGCTGTTTGCAGATGATACATCATTAATTTTTAGAATAGGTCGACGTGTTAATAATTTGGACGAAGTAAACAGCTCCATTCATCGAGTTCATAATTGGTTTACAGTCAATAATTTAGCACTTAACGAGAAAAAAACAAAATGTATTAAATTTAGCTTGCCCAACGTACACAATAATGATTGTGACATAATTTTAAATGGGCAAAAGTTAGAATTTGTTAACGAGACTATGTTCCTAGGTATTACGCTAGACAATAAACTTCAATGGGGTTCCCACATAAAGACGCTTTCGGGAAGACTGAGCTCAGCTGTTTTTGCAGTTAGACAGATTAGACAGCTCACAGACGTGAACACAGCAAGGCTTGTTTATTTTAGCTATTTTCACAGCATTATGTCGTACGGAATTTTGCTATGGGGTCGAGCTGCGGAAGTAGATTCAATATTTATTTTGCAAAAGCGGGCTATCCGAGCGATATATAACTTGTCCCCTCGTGAATCTCTGAGAGAACTATTTAAAACGATAAATATCCTAACGGTACCTTGTCAGTTTATATATGAAAATATTATGTACGTAAGGAAAAATTTGCAATTATTTGAAAAAAGAAGCGATAGACACAATTTTAATACTAGAGGCAAAGATAGGCTGGCTGTGCCACGATTCCGCCTGTCCAAAGTACAGAAATCCTTTATGGGGTTCTGTGTAAATTGTTACAATAAAATTCCAAGAAGTGTATTAAATCTTAATGAACGAAAATTTAAAACTTATATTAAACGCGAATTATGTAGACAGGCATACTACAAACTTTCAGATTATATTGAGGATAAGAATGCCTGGCAGCATGTTGGTTCGGCTCCACTGGACAATTCTCAAATATGTAGTCAGTAGTTATTAAAATTCTCAAAATTAATGAAACCTTGAATGAGTTTATATAGAAGCATTCTTTTGGATTGTGAGTACGCATATGTGAGCGCCATGTACGAGACAACAAAGGATTAAAATTTTAATGATAGATTAAATAGACCATAATTTGTTCCTTTTTATTAACAACTTGTCTCTGCATTGTTCTTACATAGGGGTACAGTAATGTATAAAAAATGTATTATTGATGAATTGTAAAACAAATATTTTTTTTAAAAGAGTAACGATGGAGTTTCTTGCTCGTTCTTCTCCATTCGAAACTACAATTTGGAACGAGCACCTAGCTTCACTGACGAACAGACTGACAGACTACTATTCTATTTTGACGTTTCAAAAGTACCTATTTATGGTTTATTTGGAATAAATGATTTTGATTTGATTTGATTTGATGTAGTTTTTCAAGTATCACATTTCTTTTTATAGAAGAAACTTGAAAATAAATATTATAAAATACTTTTAAGAAGTGTCTAAATCGATTTTTTTTATGAATTTTGTAAAAATCGAGTGTCGACGTGACGTCACACGTCATGTTTTTACTGCGTCAAACAGGTGAATGGAATTGGAGGGTTGAATAAACGCAAGGTGTGACTAAGAAACTTACAAATACTTATTCTTTTTCTGCTCGAATTAGAATTCTATATAAACCGTTTTACGGTACTTATTTCTTTGACATGAAGTATATTGTCAAATCAATTATTGAAAGTGTGTTTATCCAAATCCAAACTTATAATATTATAAATGCGAAAGTTACTCTGTCTGTCTTTTCTTCACGCCTAGACATAGTTTAGAACTCGAGAAAGGACATAGGATAATTTTTATACAAAAAATCAGCAGGAAGTCACTATTCCACGCGAACGGAGTCGCGGGAAAAAGCTAGTATTTTAATATTTTATCACATTATAAAGTCAAAACCATTTATTTATATTGGACGAGTCAACTTGGGTAGTTTATTATTGTTAAGCTGTCGAATTCAAAATTCTAAATCTTACATTTCATACTTATTTCATTGGCTAGCCAACTATGTTAAGAGATTAAGAAAAGAAGACTCTTTTAGTTGTACTGAGGGTTATAAAGACACCCCAACAACTTCAATAGGATTATGACCAATACTGAACGAAAATCTAGAGAAATTCTTAAGATGGTGTCGTCGATCGTTTAAGATACGATACGATATAGACTATTACCTAAGTGTACTGTATCTTTGTGCTCAAGATAATTATGCCTTAATCCGTAGTACCTACTTATGCTTCTGAGGCCCAAGTAGAGATAAGTACGTCCTTAGTTACGACACACAGGGTTGGAAGCTTTTTTTGTGAGGGGAAAATCGTCAAATGACTTCTCCCGCCCAGAGTCGGGGGCAGGGAGTGTCAGACTCTTACTGACTAAAAAACCCCCGGGCCTTGTCCTGGTCTGGACCGAGGTCGCGGTGCCTCATTAGGTGGTAGGAAGCTTGTTAACGGGCCAAAAAGATAAAAGAATTGCTTGTTGGGTCTTCAATATTCTTAAACTATGTTTGACTTCTTATTCTGTCCCGTTGGTCTGACCGAGATTAGACCGTCTAACATTTTTGAATTACATTTGTTAAACCGTTTAACATATGTAGAAGTACTGGATGTGGAAGTACTTGTTCAAATTGAAAACTATAATATTTTGTAGATTAATCACCTCGAATAGTCAATTTATCGAGGCAGGCTGCTGACTATAAAACATCTCGCTACAATCAACAGGACAAGAGCAGCGAGTATAGCAGTAGCTAACTCTCAACAATGAGAAATTTCGGGAAATATGCCGTTAATTCACAGAAATCTCACCTTTCTTAACAAAAGAGGTAGATAAAGTTGCACAAATAGGACTCACTTATCGCAACGTCTATTTTACAAACTATTGATCAACATATAAAAAAAGGAATACACAATTAGATGACGCGCATACTTTGCTAATAATTATTATAATGAGCATTCCAACATTATTGCGCGCTATCTCTTTCTTTTCTATGAACATGAGCGAGACGGAATGATTTTCTGAATGGTCACGCTTGTAGTGGTTCAAAGTGCAAATAGACGTTTATATTGTTTTTTATGTAATAGTTTAGCAAACGAGTAGACGAACGAATGGACGGTATGGTGGTAAGAAATCGGCGCCACCTATGGACATGCGCAACCACCAGAGGAGTTTTGGCGCATGGCCGGACTACTAGGGTTTGGGGGTTAGAGATTTGGTAATTTGAGGATTGGCGATAAAGGTAAGGAGAATTGACCTTAGGTAACTTTACTCACATGGCGAAACACGACACTATTGTTGTTTCCGCCGGTTTTCTGTAAGACTGTGACATAACTCTAGGCGCCTATTATTCATTCGTCACAAATCATGGTTCTCCCTCACTTACATCGCTACATAAGTGTAAGTGAAAGCCTTTATTCAACATTACACAGCCGAGCCTATTATTACTGTATATTATATGAGGTTTATCCAAATTCCCATACCTGGCTGTCTGTTTGAAGATTGCAGTTACGACACTATCAACAGGTTTCCGAAAGGCCGATCAATGTTAAAATCAATTTAATCTCTTGTCAAGTCATCTGATTAGTTGACTGAATTATCAACAACCAATCAGATGACTTGCCAAGAGATTTGACACCTAGTTGATTGATTTTAACATTGATCGGGCTTTCGGAAACCGGGCATTAATCTAATAATACCTGCGACTGATCAGTTTAAAACATGCACAAAAAATCACTTTCATAATATTGTATATCACCAAAAACATTAAGAACAGATACTTTAAAACAGATGACTCGATTGAGGAAAAGAACTTATAGACATCGATCTTAATAGTACCGTATCGTATTTACCTACCAACTTACCTATAAATAATGAAATCACATACAAACAATTTCTTCCTCATTAACATGGCTATTGTATTTAAAACTACATATTAAAAATAACATTTAAACACTTAAACTGTTTAGTGTCATTGTCTTTAAGAAATATTTCTTTTAAGAACTTGTTTCTTTTTTTGTATTATCTTATGTATTGTTATTTTATGATTATTATTCAGAAACCATCGTTTGGAAAATATCTACTACAAGTTAAGTCTTAATAAGTAATTTGAATATAATAACTGCAAGCCAGGCCCTAAAGGTGTTGCCCTAGATACAACCCTGAAAACAACGTAACACTGAAGTTTGGCGAGTCCTGGTTACATGAATACCGCAACGAAATAAAACACATAATATAATGAGACGATGAAAAAAAAACAGAAAAAGTAAACATCACGCAGCAATGTAGAAGGACGCCAATTTAAAATGCGCGTCAATAAAAACAAAAGCCTAGAAAACCTTACTTATCGGACCTCCTAACCTCCTCAACAGTTGGGCAGTTGGAAACATTCGACCCAATAAAAAAAATAATTATACTAAATTCAGTTTCAATTGAACTAAAAATATATTCACCTGTAACAATAGCAGTTCCAAACTGAGTTCATTGACCGGGGCATCGGAATGGACAGCCACAGCGTACGGCAGGAACCCGGGCAGTACATACTTGATCACCCGGATAGGCAGCCATAGCATGAACAGTACAGCCGTGCCGAAGATCATTGCAGACACCACGAGCCGTCGAATGTGAGACCACACTGATAAATGTATCATTTCCTGGAAACAAATGGGACGGTCAATAATTTAATATGCATTCAAAAGTTTCTAAGATTTGAAAGTAAGCGTGTGATTGTCCAAGCTGTGAAAAAGCACGCGATTTTTTACTTTTTTTTTGTGGAACAGGATTAGCTATATTGAAAAAAAAACTCTGTCGTTGTTTCGGCATTTCTTTTCAGAGTAGTCAGATACAAAATTGACGCGAAAAAGTGCTATAATATGGCGTTATTGCAAAAATAAATTAAAAGTTAGTTAAAAGCCCTTTTCAGCTAGTTACATCCTGTACATAATTGAAAATAATTTCTTCTTCATATATTACAAACACTTTAAAAATAATAAACTAAAACAAACCTGCACAGGACTGAAATCGGGATCGTTCAAATTCTTCAAGAACCACAGTACGCCAGGTCTTAGTACTTCTCTCAGCAAGAGAATGAAGGACGCGAAATAGTACACATATACCATTCCGACCAGCCAATGTATGAACATGAGCGTCCATGGAGCGGCTTGCAAACTCGACTCTCTGTCCTTTAGCGTAGCGTCGAACATTGATAAGGAACAGAGATCCAGCCACCAGCCACATACCAGTGGAATCACACCAATCTGTAAAATAATAGCATATTAAATAACACCAATGAAAAAATTACAGTAGAGTTATAAAGGGCGAGATAGGTATAATACATAGAGCATGAAACGAAAAATCTCAAAATAACGGCCATATTTAGGTCAAAAATGTTTTATAGTTGGTCAGTGAAGTTAGGTGCTTGTTCCACATATGTACAAGTTTTGTGTGGAGAAGAAGAAGCAAGAAACTCCATTCCTAATTAATTGCATTTCCAAATAGCTATTTCTTAGCTACCCATACAACCACTTGATTCAATCGCTTTTTACCCTGCAAAAGAGGTAGATAGAGGTCCATTGACATCAATCAATTTATTCAAACCATATTGTTTGTAACCAATAGGCGCCATAATAGCCAAAAGGTCTACTTTCTATTTTCTGGATCAATCTTTCTTTTCGTATGTGCATGCTAAATAACTATTCAGACTACAGTATTACATGTACTAGTTAGCACTTGTGCTATAAAATTTAACAAATAGAGAGCGGATCTGTTACTATATAATAGGAGCCATTCGAGATTGTCCACTAAGAAGAAATCAGTTCAGTAATACTGAGAATAAGAGAATAATAGTTAATAGATCAATCCTGACAAAGAAATATTGGATTTTCAATAAAACTAATTTCTAGAAATATATGAATTAGTTTCCTGTAGCATGTATTTTGGTATCACTATAAGCCCTTGCTGCACTTTGAGTGTTCCATGTGAAAATACTTAACAGGAAATTGATTCATTTTTCTTCAGTAATAAAGAGGATAACCATATGAAACAAAAATACTTGAAGTTAAAAGTATTATTCAGAAAGAAAGTTTGTGTTTTGTTAAAGACACACTGTCGAAATCAGTGTATCTTTCACATAACACTTTTTATTACAAATTGGATCTAAAACCTGAACAATTAAGGTTGACAATGACTTATTAGAAAGGTTAGGGAAGTCGTTGCCCTCTAACAGACAGTGCCTAGTGATACAAATCTAAATATTGAAACTTAAGTGCTTGACTAATTTGAATTAACATTTTAGTCAGTTTTTAGTTAATAGGTGTAGTATAATCAATTAATTATATAGTTTCAGCTATTTTCTGGGCAATAAAGTCTCAACAAGGGCCAATCAACATTTTGTTATTATTATTATTATTTGAGTAGTCTAAAATACAAATGGCAAATGGATTATTAGTTGCAGGGTTAGGTTGCAAAATTATACATTGTCTAATGGTTACTGATGCTGAATAAGAAACTTTGTTAGTTAATGTTTAATAAATCTACTGTGATAATAACCAAGTTTAAAAATGTATTTAAAACTCTATTGCAAATTATTTGTATTGGCACAATATGTCTTCTTTGTCTGATTTCCTTTCAAACATCAATCAACACTTTTCTCTTATTTCTTTCACTCAACCTCAAACTAAAACTCACTTATTGGGAAAATGGGTAGTGACAACATGGATACATTGAAAGGTTTGGTATCTCCATTATCAGCGTGAAGGCATGCAAATTTTATTGATATTATTTTATATTACTGCTTGTGCAAATTCATTAAGACAAACTTATAAAAAGTAAAAAAATAATAAATGTCAGGTAATGTTAGATACACCAAATATCTTTGTTTACTTCTAATACCTTCATAACATCAATCACACACACACATGATTTTCATCCCTTCTTACTATTAAGCAAAATCAATCAACCAATTATCACTAATTATACATTCCACCTGCTAATGAATAAAAGATTTTTTTAAGACAGACAAGTTCATTACCGTAACTGCTTACAAAATTAATTCTTAATTGTTTTGTTTTTAAACATTATTAAAATGAGTTAGTTAACGACTTTACACTTGAACTGAGTATAAAAGGTTTTTTTTAAAAATAAATGGAATCTAAGTGACAGTCTATTATCTCTGTCTGTCTAGAGATACATGTGTAACCAGGACTGCCTATTAGTATAAGATAATAAACATAAAAACTGTTGAGTAAATAGCAATTAGTGCAGAAATTAATATCATTTATAATTTAAAAAATATTTAAGTACTAGTTCTGACTAAACAATTCCCCTAAAAGTAAAAATCTGTATAAGTAGATAATTTGTCCTTATAGTTTGATTCGTCTTTGTATCAAATTTAATCCCTTTTAATTTGGTTGAGTTGTTTTGTTAGAAAGTGTCACCAACAACACCTATATTGGAAAAACCTTTTTAACTATAAGCATTAATAAATGTTTAAAAAACAAGCTTTTATACCAGTCAGAAAGTCCTGGGACTAAACACTTAAGAGACATTTTTCATTTATTTTGACCATACTCATACAACCTAGTATTCATGTATATATACTCAAGCTTTATATATACAACATTTCGGCATAATTGGTTGAAGATCTCTGCTCAAAAAATGTTTGCATAATATTAACTTTTGAAATATAAAAAAACAAACATATCAAAACTTATGTAGGTACCTACAGCTAATAAATTAATGTGACACATGATCATGATTATTCATTTCACTGATATCTGGCGATATATTAACTGTGTTCTAAAGGGTAATGACTGATTATTAATGCCCTCAAGTTCATATCAGATAAGTACTCATGCACTTATTAATCAGGAAATATATTAAAAAGTATTTAGTTATATTACACAAATAAGCCAAAAATTATGTAAACATAAGTTGCGAAACAAGTTTTATTTGCTAATATATGAAAATTGCCTGCTTTTAATAAAATTATAAGATGTTTGGCATTGATCAACAATGTTTTGCATAAAACATTGGATGTTAAGGATTTTTATGGAAATCATTTTATTAAGTTTTGAATGAATAAAAGTAGAAGATAATGCAGAAGGATGCTACTTACCTCAACAACGGACAGTAGTGCCACTTTCACAACTACATAACAGAATCCCAGTGCCTTCTTAGCACTTCTCAGGCGCAGCAGGGATGCCATGCCATGTAACACTGCCAGTATAGCCCCCACCAACACATACCCTGCTAGAGCAGTCAATGGACCCGCAAATGGACCCTCGGCTGTCAGCCCTGCCATAGCGGCTCCCAACCTTCCAATATGATATGGGCAGAATGCAAACACCACTATAAACAGTGTATTCAGGGAGACCACCCAAAATACATGTTCTAAAAATACCATTGACCCATCCAAGCCAAGCAAACGGGCCCATGTCAGCTCCTCAGCAGCTGCACGATCCCATTCCATTGGGTTCCAGTTTGCTTCATCTCCAACCAAAGGGTCCTCACCAACTTCAGCATTGACTTCATCTCTTATACCAACTTCACCATCCCCTGGTCCATTATTCACTCTGTCATTGTTATTATCTTGCAGAGGAAGGTCTTCAGGAGGTGGGGCTGGCAGGTTCTCTCTTTCCATCCAGTCTGGGCCACCACCATGCATGATCTGCTCTCTTAGCCAAACAAGACCAATAAAAGAGAACAGTGTACATGTTACCACAAAACATCCAGAGAAGATATCTTTAGCTAGGTTTTCAGCAGATACTATGTCAAAGGGTAATGAAATCACTGGGTCCAAGGAGCCTGAGAACAAACAGCGGTAGGTCCTGCAGGCGGTAAGCGGCACGATGCCGAGCCAAGCCAGTGCTACCAATGTGTAGTGTAGCCAGTCTTTCACAGCAGACGCCACCGACGTCACCAAACCGCCCACCACGTCGCGAATGGGCAGCCTGCGAGGCATGTCCGGGGAATATATCGGCATAAAAGAAAATCGGTGGCCACATAGCTCGCAAATCTCTTTCCTGGAGTATCGCATCCACTGCACTAAACATTCTTGATGAATCCATTTTATTGAACCCGTGCAGATACACGGGTGGAACAGCGGTCTGTCAGACGAAGCCTCTGAACGACAGAACCGGCAGAAGTCCGCGCCGGACGAGTCCGAATCCATCATTTTCTTCAATCCAGTTTGCCTGGTTGATTATGCGATCTGTGAAAGTTGTAACACAATTATGGCGTCAATCAACAACACACCACTCACGCATTTATAAAGCTTTAATAAGAATACACACCTTAACGTATAAAACTATCAGACAGCACAAAATACAATAGATTTTAAGGAAAAAATATATATTTTCTCTTTGTTTGACAACCAGACAGCCACAGTAATTGAGTGTAGCCAGAGCTGTGTTACACGAAATCTACCAAGTACGGTTTTAATTAAACAGCTGAGCAAAAAATAAACCGGAAATGGATGATAATATGGTAAGAAACTAACAGAGCCGTTTATTATAATAATGGCAGGTGCTAATTTTGTTTACGAGAAGGTGAGTAGGTAGGTAGATATCTGATTAATGTATGAACGACAAAAAATACCGTACTTTTTGATTTGTATGTTAACATACAAATCAAAAATTGCGAAGTTCGAGAAAAGTCTTTTCCATAAATCACTTGTTTGTATTCATATTCTAACCACTGGCCCACTGGGACACTTGATTTGATTTGATTATAATGAAACTAATTATGTGTCAAGGACACTAATTTTGAAGACCGCACTAAAGATGCGAATAACTCAAGCCAGGATTATTCCAAATTTTGAAAACAATACACGTTAAATTACACCGTTGTCTTTCATTTTCCTTAATATAAACACACAACCGATAGTGATGTTCATGCTCACGAGGTTTACTGGTAGGTAGTAGGTTTACTTATTTAGGTGTCTTATTTACTAACAAAAGATTAAGTGCTGAATAAAAGTACTTATTCATAATAATTTTCTTATTTTTAACCATTGGAAATTCTTTTGTGGTGTGGATGCGTTTACATACACAGAAACTCGATTTCACAACCACTCATACCCGTAGCTTTGCTATTCAAAACATTGTTGTAACTTTTGAAACAAAAACATTTATATTGAATTATCATAGTATCAAGACCGATAGCTTCACAGTATTTGGGGTGGTCATAATAATACGATAAACATTAGCTACCCCAATTTTTCCACAATCTTTTTGCCAAGATGCAGCAGTATGGTGCAATGTATAATTATTTATTTGCGCGAAATTGAGTTAATATATTATTTCTGACGCTTGATTCTTAACCTTCACTTACTCGTGTCCCGCACTCAACTTAAATAGTAGGTAACATGTATAATAAATAATTGATTACATCTTTAGAGGTATGAGGAACAGGGTGGAAAGTTCCTCATCCTCCATTGAAAAGGGAGGATCCTCCGACCAGGCGAGGTGTTCGTGCCTGGTGGGCTACTGCCCACCAGGCACGAACACCTTCTGCTTGCTTGCCTGCTTAATTGCTTGCTCACTATATCTCGTTTCTGAGCAGAAGTCAAAAACGTTTAAAACGTCTTTTTCAAGACGAGTTTCTGTTAGCAGAAGTCAAAAACGTTACAAGCGTCTTTTTCAAGACGAGTTTCTATCAGAAGTCTAAAACGTTTGCAACGCCTTTTTCAAGGCGGCCTGTTTCACTGTTTCTGATCACAGAAAGTCAAAAACGTTGGTATTGGTTTGTTGGTTACGGAGGTAAAAGTAATCTGGTTCTTGAAGGAGGTACGGTAAAGGTTATCTGGTAATAGGTATGAGGTGTGGTGGTTATGCCATAGAATGTAGGTAGGTATGTATGTATGCCGCTATACATCCCATTGAATTTCTTTTTTGTTATCTCTTGTTCCCCTTATCATTCCTACTTCCATTGGCTGCACATATACTCCAGCTTTTCTTTTTCAAGGGAAAATCATCAAATGACTTCTCCTGAACAGGTTAAGGCGAAAGAAAGTCTCAGACTCTTACTGACTAAAAACTTCCTCATTCCTTCTCCTGCTTTTAGGCCGTGGCCGCGGTGCCTCATTGCACTTGCCCCGCAGCCTATGCTCTAACTGCACCTGTTATTTCGGCTATCCTGCTGCTGGAATGGAACGTTCGCGAAGATGGATATACCCACACTTAGTTCCAAATACATTTGTAAGTTTTATACGTGTGACAGAGCGTTTGAAACTGTCGAGCATTCGTTTTTGTCATTGTCAGTTTCTACTTTCAATGTCAAATCAGTCATAATAGAAAATGTCGATGTGACATTTTGGCTGTCCATGTTTTCATTACCGTTCGCTCGGTTTCGGTTTCGGTTCTGCGAAAGTTGTCGTCATATTTGTTGTCGTGGTGTCGGAGGATTGGCCGCTTGGACAATTAATTGCAATTTGAACTGTTATTATGTCTAGTGTCTTAAGTGGAGTATCTTCATTACCTCACGGTAGGTCATAAAATGGTATTTGTATATTATGTTTAAAATAAATTACTCAACAACAGACTAATGCGTTTTCTCCGTATTTTACAGTAAATCTACAGTTTTATTAACTACTATTATACGATAAGAGTATACAGGAAGACGATAGAATCAATAAAAAATTAATAGTTGTGCCCATTGAAAGGCTTTTGAAATTAAAGGAGCCCGTTCTGTTCACTAGACCAAATGATATTAAGTGGATAATTTTACTTTATTAGAAGAAAGAAGATGTGGCTATAAAAAATTAAAATTATCACATAATTTTACACCATACTTAACACATTATCAAAAATATGATCTTAGTTAATTTATATCTGAATCGCCGATAAATGAAAACCTACTCAGTTGTGATATGGTGGATGTTTATCTGTTAACTATTTAGCTATTTAGATTTGTTTAGTCAACTATTAGTCAACACTTTTGTTTACATACAAATTTTATTGACAATAGATCAAATTGTTGTTGTTTAACAAACAAACAACACTTGTTAAATTAATTGTTTTGTTAGATAATTGATATAGATAACTTTAATAAGTATCCATTATTAGGTAGTAAGTATATTTAATAATAATTGTACTTGTTTGTAAGTCAAAAAATCATCAACATATTAATTTTAGTGCAACATCATCTTAATTTAAAAAGCACATATTACATTGCTGTCTACCTATTTGATGAATATCTAATAACTAAATTAACTAAAATTCGCGGGTTACTCACGTGTGAATGTTGAGAAAAGCTCTACTAGTTTCGAACCACTAGTTAATCTAATAACTAGTCGTGGGTAGGCCCAATTTACTAGTCGTAATTTAACTGCCATACTCAAGACTAATTTTATGGTTTCTTAGCCTAGACCTTAGTACCTAGTAGTTTTTTGCATGAAGTAAGGCACTTCAGCAAAAAACAGGCCATCACAACCAAATAAATTCATTACTAAGTTGCACAAGTAAACATTTAATTAATGCCTTATAGTATGGCAGTTATTAGTTTACTGACTGCTAACATATCATGATTAAATTATCCATCAATTAGACAAAAAAAAAAATAGTAACAAAACTCTTTAGTCTTATTACTGATAATGTAGCACAGATTATCTCCTATTGCAGAAAAAATCTACTAAACCTGTAGAAAAATATGAAGAACAAGCATTAACAGATACGGAAACAATTGCGACAATGAATCAACCAAAGGATGCAATCATTCGCATAGACGTGCCAGGCACATCGAAACATACGGAGAGAACAGAACAGGCGGACATCAACATACTATGCCTTGATCTAAAGCCATTCAGTTTCATAACCCAGTTTATGTTCTGTCTCATTTTCGTATTCATATTTTACTTAGCGTATGGATATTACCTGGAATTATTATTTGCAAATTCTGAAGTAAGCTTCTACATAACTCTAGTTCAATTTTTAATAACAACCGCATTGAGTTACGTTGAATCATTGATAAGGAGTCCTATAAAACGGAAGTAAGTATTATATTTTCCATTTTTATGATGTTTGCTGAACTGATTGAGAAGTGGATGAATACCTCTTAGTTTAATCGTCATTGCTTCATAAGCGAGCTTGCTACATATGAATTAACAGATTTGAAACAATTTTTATACCTTATTTCTTAATAATGACACTGAGTATGGATAATAATTAATCAGAATTGTAAATTTTGCATTCCTTTAAAATGTTGTACTATTAAAATTTATTTACCATTTTGTATTCACATTTTAGAGTACCGCTGAAAACATATGCGCTACTAGCAGGATTGACTCTCGGTACCATGGCTTTTTCAAACCTTGCCTTGAGTTACCTAAACTACCCAACGCAGCTGATCTTCAAGAGCTGCAAACTAATACCTGTGATGATTGGCAGTATTATTATACTGGGCAAACGATATGGATTTCTGGACTATGTGTCGGCTGTGGTCATGTGTATTGGCCTCACTATGTTTACTTTAGGTAAGGGTTTCTACATGTTCTATTCTAATTATAATAAATGCACTTGGCATTGGCACATACGAATGGCCTGTTGGCGAAAATTAATGCTTGCATTATAATTTGCCAAGTGACCGGGGTTACTGGCGGCCCCACATCCACGATATTCTAGTCTCAAATATCCATCCGTAAAAAGCTGAAGGAAAACTAAAAATAAGTGAGTTATGTAAATAACCGCGTAATTAAACGCCAAATTACGATAACGATTTTAAACAGAATAATGTTTCTCCAATTAAGATTACAATATTAAGTAATTTTATTCATCAGTTTTTCTTTTTTAGAATTATAATCGATAATGCTATGTATTAGGTAACGTTACCGTCCTGTTTTTCGATACTCGATAGTAATTTCGGGAATTCCTGTACCTTTACCTATGAACATCCCAAACAGTTTCTACAAAAAAATTGCGAGCCTAGCGCAATAACAACGGGTTGGTTTTAAGTCAGTAGGGAGTCACTTTCGCCCCACCTAGTGATTTTCTTGGGAGGGGAAACTCATTAAATGCCTTCTCTCGCTCAGGCCTCAAGCCCCCGTTCCTCTTCTCTTGCTCTAGCCCGAAGCCACGGTACCTCTGTCCGACCTCCGTCCAAAGCAGGAGAAGGAACGGGGGGTATTAGTTAGTGAGAGTTTCTCCCGCAGATACTCCCTCCCGCTCGACCCTGGTCGGGAGAAGTCATTTGAGGAGTTACCCATCCCAAGAAAAGCTATATTTATATTTGACTAGCTACTTTCTCGCGGTTTCACTCGCTGCTCGGTTCCATTTAATCGTAGCGTGATGTTTTATAGCCTATAGCACAATCGGACAAGCGGTTCCAAAGATTACCCCCTACATACAAACTTACAAACATTCAAATTTTACCTCTTTATAATATTAATATAGATTAAGTACTTATTCTATTATCTACATTACGTAACTAGCTACGCTAACACGGTTTCACCCGCTGCTCGGATCCATTTGATCGTAGCGTGATGTTTTATAGCCTATAGCACTCAGGAACATTGTAGCTATCTATCAGTGAAAGAATTTTGGCAATGAAACAATGGAACAATTAATTTATTTTTGCAAATAGGTAATAAAACGGCACTTTTACACGTCAATTTATATGTGAAAAACTAAATGAAGCCGGCATTTCCTATCTGACTACTCTGAGAAGAAATGCCGAAACAAACTCAGAGGTCAGTCTATTTTCAAGCCTAGACAATGTAAAAATAACAAAATGTGAGAGAACCGTGCAAGTTCATTTTGTAGTGGTCTTTTGATGAAAAAACCACAGCAGTTTAAGTGGACAAAAATCCGACCAGCGGTTTCAAACCCTACATACAAACTTACAATTTTTACCTCTTTATATTATAATAATAGTATAGAAGTATAGATAAAAGTATGTTATTCAAATCTATTACAGCGGACTCCCAAACATCGCCGAAATTCAACTTTATTGGTGTAATAGTGATATCGTTGGCTTTGCTCTGTGACGCTATCATCGGAAACGTTCAGGAGAAGGCGATGAAACAGCATCACGCGTCTAACAATGAAGTCGTGTTTTATTCTTACGCCATCGGCTCCATATATTTGCTGTTTATAACCGTGCCTACTGGGATTATGTCGGCAGGCATCGTATATTGTGCACAGGTAAGATGCTTAAAATATTATATTTTAAAAAACACTTTCCTTCACTCTTGAATTTCATCATGTATGGTTGTTGCGTTTAAAAACATTAAAATTCACCTAGATATCCCTCTTAGACCCGGTGCAAATTAATACTTAACTTATTTCGGTATTTAACGCACACAGTAATAGTGGACATTTATTAACACCGACAGTAGATGAAGATAAATCACATTCATCGACGTAGTAGTATCATGTAATATCGCTGAACAGTCAGCTTGTGACCATGGCAGATGTAACCCTGCCGAAACGTCTAGCAAAAAACAAATAAAAGGTACCCCAAACAACATTTTGTTGATCACACATAGAGTTGTTCTGTGCGGGAGTTGAAACGACACGTTCCATCACACCAACTTACAGTCTAGAAAGATTGTGAAATCTGTAAAGGCTGGCAGTGTAGTGGTGACGAACTGACTGACCGATTCTATTTTGACGTTTCAAAAGTATCTATGTATATGGTTCAGTTGAAATAAATGACTGACTTTAGTCCATGATCTGTCTAAATGGTTGCTTCCTAATCTCATAAAAATTATATTTATAAGGAAAGTAACATTTTAAAGCTTAAGAAATAATAGGTATATTCTGCCGACCTCGTTGATGATACTCTCGATCCTTTTGCCAAAAAAGGTTACTAATGTTCAGACTTCATTTTTAAAGAAGAGAATGAGTACCCTATTCCCACAAGACCCCGATAACCGCAGTTGCCGATATAGTAACTAATACCAATAACAAAACTAAATCAATATTTGAGGAGTCGGGAGAAGGAACGGTGTGATTTTTAGTCAGTTAGTAAGTCTCATCCAGAATGAGAAAAGTCATTTGATTTTCCCTTTAAAAAAAAGGGATCTCCAATACTTACATTGGACGTAATTTTCCTATGCAACCCTTCTGGCGTGAGTTCGATACGCATAAAGCATGTTTTTGTTTTTAAATTTGGAACCGAATCAAACCTCATAAGTACTCAAATTTACCAGTGTGACCTGATACCTAAAATATTATGTAGTTGCTATGTTAGTTACAATAAAAGTACGAAGGTTTTGATCAGTTTCAATGTTGTATTTTTAAAACGCCGATAACAATTATACGGCTTTATTAATAAAAAGTTTAACGGGCGCCATGAACATAATGCTAGATAATAAAATTATCGCTAGTTCTCTGTACACTCGGCTGCAAGTCAAGATATACCAAACCAACTTATGACGACCTCACTCTGGATACATTTTCCGCACATTGAAAATTCAATGTATACTGGATACAGATGTTTTACAGCGACTAAGATCGTCTTTACTAGTTTTAAAGTGTTTTAGGTGCCTTTACTTATTCTTGTAGTCATAAAGTTTTTTAATTGCTTATTTTAAAGATAGTTAGGAATCTATGTTTAGTTTATGATGCACGATCTTGGGGTAGATTTTACTGAAAAAATATGTCTGGAATTAACAGAAGAAAGAAAAGAGAAAGAAAGTCCCTTTTCGCTCCTGTCTGTTTGTTTTTTATAAGCACTAGGATTTTCTCCCGTGTCGTGGGTGCGTTTGCAAATAGTTTTAGAGCCGGAACAACAACTTTTGAACAACACAAAAGAGTTGTTCAGTGCAGGAATCGAACCTGCGACACGTTGCACGGCAACCATTTGCCCAGCCACCGCACCAGCCGTGCAGTCAGTTTGTCTTTCTGTATGAACGCGGTGAACTAAAAAAGCATTGAATTGAAATCCTGTTGCTTTTTTGTTTTTGTCACTTTAATATTTGCATGTGATTTCATATGATGTCAGTAAAATGTAAAACAAACAATTCTTTTAATTTCAGAACCCGCTGATAATGTACTCGAATATCTTCTTCCTGAGTTTGACCGGGTATTTGGGCTTGCAAGCAGTACTGACACTGGTCCGCATCTGTGGCGCCACCATCGCTGTTACTGTGACAACCTTCAGGAAGGTTCTCTCCATCATCATATCGTTCCTGGTGTTTAGCAAACCTTTTGTGTTCCAGTGAGTATATTTTAGTTAGTTTAAGTTTATACTATTTCATATACCATCTATCATTGCCAAAGACTGCACGGTTGCCGCGGTGGCTGGGAAACCGCCTGCCGCACCACGTGTCGCGTATTGGATTCCCGCACGGAACAACTCTTTGTGTGATCCACAAATTATTGTTCCGGCTCTAAAACGGTATGTTTGTACACGCACCCACGACACAGGAGAAAATCCTAACGTGGGACACTGCATTAAAAAAAAAGAAAAACATTCAGACTTGGAACAACAATTTGTGGATCAAAACAAATACAATTTCAAATCTTATAACCCAAAATTACTGCGCAAGTGAACATATAAAATGCACTTGTCCACATCTCTATAAGCACCTTGCGAGTGGCGCCTTCGCCTCATCTGGACGCCACAACTTTTGTGTAAAAGGAATTTAATAAAAACAACATGTTGCCTTGTAATAGACACCACTTCCAAACTTCTATTAATTAGATTCTACATATACACAATAATCATTTTCCTGCTTATTCCGGTGAACAAAGCAGAGATTCCTTGATGGATTGACGAGATGGGGCTGGGGCTAGACATAAAATAAGGATATTTTCAGTAGACTCCCAGCAGACCTTATTTATGACGTTCGGCTCCAAGTTCAAAGCTAAACCTCCAATGAAAGGAGTTACACCGTGATCTTTCGGCATAATCATATCATTATATAACTCAATATCATCCAAAATGTCGCTTAAACCAAATAGCCCGTAATCCCTCGATATCCTATCAACTACTTTGAAGGCTAATATTCAACCGTCCACGTCAGTACCAATTGTTAAGGGAACTATCTGGTGATCCGTTACCTCTTTTGCCGACTGCCATTACAATGTGAAGCGTTTGGGAATGGCATAACAGAGATGTGCTTTTCTTAAGATTATCTTTAATTAAGTAAAAAAGGCGCTGATCGCCGAAATACAGGCTCAGCCTAGTTCGGCTACAGTTAGACTCTCTGTTATAATAATATTGTTGCCAAGTTTTAAACTTTGTAAAGTGGTATTAAGTTGTTTGAGAAATAAACATTTATTATTTATTATAAACTTATGTTAACGTTAGTTACTTATAAAGTGACGTGTACACACCACACCATACCCTAAAAAATTGGTCACAAACCTTATATTTTAATTTCTCTTTCTTTTCAGATACGTATGGTCAGGTATGCTAGTAATACTAGCGATATACTTAAACCACTACAGCAAGAAGAATCCAAATTATGTGCCTAGTATAGTGGTGAGATGCTGGCAGTACATGAATGGTATTTACCAGTCCGAATACCGGTATTTAAGGATTAAGAGCAAGATGTACGCCGATACGGTATAAATATTAAAATTTATCTAGTTTTTAAGTAGATCAATGGGCTAAGTTGCATTGACGGGTTTTCTATCAAGATTCAGTGGATTTTTTCGCTAAGTAACTACCGTGCGGTGTCGTCTGTTGTTTGATTTGTTTTGAGCATTTTTTCTTTGATGGTACTTCACTGTCAATTTCAGACTCTTACTGACTAAAACCATCCCGTTGCTACTCGTACTTTAAGCTGAGGCCGCTGTTAATTATTGTGTTTGCACCCGCAACTCCTGTTGGGCTTGACTGTCATGTTTTGTCTCATGTCTCGTGGCGTGTTTTGTGATCTATACAGTCTTCCATAATAAGTCGATAAATTCGATCCACCTGTTCGCTATATTAGCGCGTTCAAATAAATTATAGAGAAGGTATTTTCCTCTTAAATTGTAGTGATTAAAGGGGGGTAGGTATGAGCATATAATCAAAAGGATTGAAAAATGTGTGAAAGAAATAAAAAGAGGATTTTGATATTATTTTTTCATAAAGGACAATTGAAAATTAAGATGATAGTAAGTGACTATATAATTTACTAAATATAAGGGTTTACTCACGTGAAGTAATTGAGAAAAGATCTAGGTACTAGTTTCAAGTCACAACGAGACCCTTATTCAAGAGCAGCTTGTGCGGTGTGGCGACGTTGCTAGTACAGTTTTTCTCACTAAATTCACACGTGATTAAGCCGTTATTTTTAGTAAATTCTCTGTGTTACACCAAGGACTGATTTTTCAATGGTTAGCTAAAAGTCATCTAGGGAATAATTATTATGATGCTGTCGCGCCAGAATGTTAGTACAAGACAGTGATAGCAACAATGTTATTCCTCAGGTAACATTTATCTGAATTGAAAAAATCAACCCTAAGTTATCATAAAAAATACTGTCTACTTGTGATCCACATTCAGTGAAACTTGATCGAACCCGACATTGTTATTGATAGTTCCGAAGCGTATTTGAAAAGGAGTCTTGAAACTAAAGTTTCCTTGTATAATTATAAAAAAAGATAAGATATTATAAGCTCAGTTTGTGGTTGGTCAACACCGCAATTAATTTATATATTTTTTAATAGAATTTTTGTTGTCCAATTTTAAAATTTCGATATACGTTTAGCTGGGTGACTTTGTCTAAGAAAATGAATTAGAAATTCAAGTGTAAGTGTTAAAAGTAACCCTTGAAATGTTCTTGTTATGTTGATAAAACTATATGTGTTGATTTTTTTTTTCTCATGTTGGATATTATGGAAATTATGTTTTTCAACTTAGCACAATTTTATGTAAATTTTATTACAAATATTATTTAGACAATACCTTCTATGACAATATGTAAGACATATTGAGATAGCTCCAAGTGTATTTATAAGAATGTCAAATAAAAAGTATAAAGAGGTCCTATTAACACCAATTCTGTGTAAATGTAATTAATTGAGCTACCGTTTTTCACACTAGATGGCGCCAGTGTGGACTTCTCGCCTTTTTGCCCAATAAGGATAAGCTATTGCCAATTTTTCACACTATTGGTCGTTTTTGACAGCTACATTGATTGGAAAAGCTGACTTTTTGTTACATAAGAGCTATCTAGTGAGCAAAAGAACTGTAGCCCTCTATTGTGTATAGAGTTTACATTAGGTATAGATAGGTTTTGCATCAAAATTTTACAAGTTTATGACGATTAGTTATGGAGTATGTAGTCAAACTTCATAAAAGCCAAACTATTGAATTGATTTTACGATATCAAAACATAATTGATAGATAGTCAATAGTCTATTCTACCCATAAGTTACTGTTACTACCTTTTTTGGGGAGGGTCAATCATGACCCTTCTCCCGTCTTGGATAGAGCGAAAGGGAGTGTCAGACTATTACTGCCCATCCCTTCTTCTGCTCCGCGCCAAGCCGCGGCTACATTATTACGTTTTTGTTGGGAATTACACTTATGTTTTATTTCATGCCTCATGTTTTTTGATCCATACATAGTCATCCATAATAACCGGATCAATTCGCTCCAGTTGACCCATAATTTGCGCGTTCAAATAAAGAATATCTATATAAATATTATTGTAAGTTTGTATGTTTGTAAGTTTTTCACTGATAGATAACTACAATGTTCCTGAGTGGTGTAGGCTATAAAACATCACGCTACGATTAAATTGAGCCTAGCAGCGGATGAAACCGCGCGAGAGTAGCTAGTAGAGGACAATTTCCTCTTATATGGGGGGGGGGGGGGGGGGGTAGATTTACCTCTTATACTGAGAAGATTATTGTGAATTATTGTCCACAATCCCCTTCTTTTCTAGTTAAAAATTGTAATTTGCAAAAATTAGTTTTGTCTTCACTAGAACTCCATGTTTAATTAAAAATTGTTTTTAAAATGTTATTCTATATAAAATAACAACTTTCATTCTCATTTGATTTTAAACACGATAGCAGTAAAGTAACAATTCTTGCGTAATATGTTTTTAACCAGTGACCTATTTATGAGATTTTACATATCAGAATGTATAATGGATTGCGAATAAGTTTGTTGCAAGGATTATTAGGAATATTTTATTATCAGCTATTATTTATATTACAATTTAAATGTATGACATTTATTAATTTTAATTTATAAATATAAAATATGTGAATCAATGGATGCATTTGATAAGGATTGCATTGTAAATGTAGGTAGAGTGTGTATGTATGTAAATAAAATAAAAATAATTTATATCAATGACATTTATTTTCATTGTATGTACAAAATCTTACAAATCTAAAAGTTTTTTCATACAAAAGTGTCCAAATTTAACGTGTTTGAATATTTGGAATGTTATTTAAGACACTATTTTTCATTGGCTTTTTACATGATATAAGACGAAACGGTTAACTTGTTAAAGCATTTTAATACTTTCAGGCGAAGGAAATAAACAAATTTTAGGTTAAATTTTGTTACAAGAATATCGATGGTCAGTCGATTAGATTCCAATTATATTAACAATTAATATGATTTAATACATGCGTCAAAAATGGGGGATAATTGGTCAAATTAATTAATTAATATTATACAGGTCACAAGATTTAACTACGCTATAAATTAAATACGCTTCTCTCTACATCTATCATTCGCTCTTAATGTACAATTATCTCTTTGGTATATGGTCCTATATCTAGCATTATTTGTCTTTTTACATGAGGATAGTTGGCCCCTTTGCAAGTGTTTTGTGGGATCATTGAGCACAGTTTTATCACAATTTTGTACCAACTGGTTATATGGTGGGTAGAAATGCACGAGATTATGAAGACAGAACTTTCGATATTTTTTTATTATTATGTTACAAATAGCTTCCAAGTCGAGTTGTCGTTCGTCGTGGAACTCTAAGGGGGAGGGCTTTGTTCAGCAGTGGACGTCTTCCGGCTGATGATGATTACAAATAGCTTCTACAAGCGGCCGCAGCACCAGGGTAAAAGTAGTCTATGTGTTATCCAGTTAATAATAATCTATCTCTGGCACATTTCACTCGGAACCGTTCAGTAGTTCTGACGTATAATAGTTTCATCCTCTCGCGTTGAAGTATGAGGCTATTTGCTTAGTTATTTTGTTCGCAACATTATTATAAGATTGAACATGTGTTTTTTGTAGTCCTGTTTATACATACGTGTATTTCTATCCACCATATAATATCCAGTAGTCAATTTTGATTCAGGGAGCTAATGACAACTAAAGGTTTCTACATTAACTTCCTCTAAAATGTACATGATAATTGCAAAGGAGCCTTGAAGTACTTTAGTTGAATTTTCTGTCGTTAATAAGGGCAATTATAAATTTGTACGCAAACAAGACGTAATTTTGGTTGTGCGTGAACTTTAACAATAACTTGGAGTAACAAAGCACGAGTGAAGCGTAGGACTTGAGATCTTAATCGTACTCCAGTGTCGGGCCTTACGGTGATAAAAAAAATATCACATATCATTTTAGAATATGAAAATATTGTGTTACATTTCGTTTTCAACCTTATTGCTTATCCCGTAGTGAACAATTTAGTTTGTACAAAATGCAAAACAACACTACCAGTGCTTATAAGCTACATAAATAATATAGAAAGTGAAAATTGATCAATACTATAAATACTAAATTTATTTTAGTGGACTTAACGTACCTCAGTTTCTGTGTTTTCGTATTGACTTAGGCTAAATGTTTCGATATCAATTTTGACTTACAAAACAGAAGAGAAAAGCCGTCGACCAATAAAAAAGAAGCTCACACGTTCCTGTATTGTTTTAGTTCAATAATGATTTGAGTATAAAAATACTAAAAGTGGATTTATATGTGTGTGGCCGGTCCCGGGCGGAGACGGCCACAGCACTGTATAAGTGCCACATTTGCTAAGAGGACCCTACACGATACACAATGTCTCTCACGCGGCACATACAAACTATTTCACTATATCACAGCACTAGTCTTGCACTTCTCTGTACGGTATCTCACTGGTCACTGTGAACGATTCGAAATAGTGGTTTAGGAATTCGAAAGTGGGCCGTTTCTCGGGGATAGCGTCCCAGCATTGTAGCATCAGTCTATAGATATCGTCGGGGAGGTAGTGGCCGACGGGTTTCGGCATTCTGTAGCCTCGCTCCACTTGTTCGATGACGTCTTTGCCGTGCAGACCGGGGTAAGGTATCTGTCCGTACGTGAACAGCTCCATCAGTAGGATGCCGTACGACCAGACGTCGCTCTTGATGGAGAATCGTCCGTAGATGATGGCTTCAGGCGCCGTCCACTTCACTGGGAAGCGAGATCCCTGCTTGGGGCAGTACTCGTTGTCTTCAATCACCCTCGCGAGACCAAAGTCACATATTTTAGCTACGTTATTTTCACCTATTAACACGTTTCTAGCGGCTAAGTCTCTGTGTATCAACATTTTGGATTCTAAGTATTCCATGCCGGACGCGACTTGTGCGGCCACGTACACTAGATCCTCAAACTGGAGGAACTTGCCCTCACCGTTTCTGAGGAACTCCAGGAGGGAACCTTTACTCATATATTCTTGCACTATGTAAACTGGCTCTTGGGTGGAACAAACTGCGTACAGCGCCACCAACCGCTTGTGTCGGAACTTCTTCATAATGGCTGCCTCTTGTAGGAAGGCTTGGGTCGACATTGTGCCTTCTCTCAGTGTTTTCACAGCCACCTGTAATAATAGTATGTGTGTTAATTAGAATTGAAGATATAAATGCTTAAATATTGCTAGTCTTTAATATTTATTTTGAGAAAGAAGTTAAACAAGTACCTAGCAAACAGTATTGTTGATTATAATATAACTACAAAACTGTCTGCTTAGCTATTTGGTTTATTATATAGAGCATACTTCAGATAATAATTTATTTGGGGATCTTTTATATCAATTCCGTATAAAGCAATTGATCATATATTAAGTACACCAGAAGGCTCTAATACTTTTTATATTTTGTAGTATACTACAAACAACTTGCATGGTTCGCACAAATTATTTTTAACGTTATCTGGACTATAAAAGAGACGGACCTTTGAGTTTGTTTCGGCCTTTCTTCTCAGGGTAGTCGGATAGGAAATGCCGGCTTTATTTAGTTTTTTATATATAATTTTCACGAGTAAAACTGGTGTTTAAGGCTATATTACAGTAAAATAATTACCTCAATATTATTACGCCACTTCCCATAGTAGACCTCTCCGAAGTTGCCTTGTCCTAGTTTCCTTATGAGTTGTATTTCTGACCGTGGTATCTCCCATTTGTCCCGTAACTCGGGTCCGAGGTCCCACATTTGAGGTTCAGGTTTGGGACACGGCCGCGCGAGTACGTGGCACAGACCTAACGCGTTCTCTGAAAACATCAGTATCTTTTATTTAGATTAACGTTTTTTAATGGTTAGTGAGCTATGTTTGCGTGTGTTTTTAATGGTAAGTATGTTATTGGTTGGTTGAATTTTTATTGCGTTATCTATGGGTAGAACGAGACGGGATGATGATAGGATATAAATCAATATATAATTACACCGTCAGTAAGATAGTGAAAAAATATCACACAATTGTCGTATAAGAAAAATAATGAAACAAATGTCTTACGAAAGATACAAACAAAAAATACAAAACTTTTATAAAAATGTTATATTAGAGAAAAATAAATAGATGTAATTTCTCTGAGTAAGTATTTTTTGATGGTTGTGATATTGCTTTGTTGATTGGCGACTCATGCATGAGTACAAAGCCCAGTGCAGTATTGTGACCATAAAGGCATTCGTTTTCGGGATCCTCATTAAAAAAGTTGTATGGCCGCATGGTTAAGACACAAAAATGCACCTATCAATGTTTGTAATCAAATAATTGAGATTGTAATTAAGAAGGTGACTCCATAATAGTTTACTCATTCAACAATATTATGCCAAGTCGTGTGGAACTCTTTATTTGCACAGAGTATATGAAATAGGCAAATTTGAACTCACTTGTATAAGACATAACAAGCGCTGGCAGACTCGGGAACGTTTGATTTGTGGCGATGTAGAACCCTCCATTGTCCAAAGGCTTGATCTTGTAATGCTTGACATGGTACCCTCTTCCCTCCTCCCAATCCTTGACGCTCAGGCTGAAGCCGTGAGGGTTATGTTCCGCTGGCCTGACGAGGAACGTCCCTCGAGGGTTGGTTTCAGCGAGGAGGAGTTTGTCGGCCTCTTTGCGGGATACGTGAGGAAAGAACCAGCTGCAACATGACGTCGGCCTTTAGCGGAAAGTCGCCGATTAATAACACGTAGGGGAGGGTTGTGACCCATCACCGTTTTATGCTGGTACTTGTTTGTTAAGAGGCTCTTGTATGTTAGTCTGTACAGTCGATAAAGGTACGTACGTAGATGTTATTCAAGATATTAGTGTAGTATCTTATTGGTAATTTCGAAGATTAATCGATTAGTAGTTAAAGTAACAAGCGAAATCAATCTCTGTTTGAAATTCAGTGTGAAATAAATTACTTCAGTTTTATTAACGTGTAAGTAACTTTTAAATTTTCGCGTAGGCTTGACGTTTCGATGGATTGGCCTAATATGGTAGAAAGTGAAAATAAGAGCGTAGACGAAGATTCATCGCCCGAATGCGGGGAGCTGTGACATCGCATCTTCAGTCTGCTTGTGACCACGACCTGTGCAACCAGGTCGAAACGTCAAGCCTACCAAGGTATTTAGATAATTATTTTTGCGTTAATAAATGTTGTAAACGTGTTAGTAAGTCAGAAGATTGTGAGCGAACAGCGAAAGATCGTGAGTAGAATGAAGGATTACATTTATTAGCAATATAACTTATACGTTGAAAGAGTTATAGTTAGCTCCTGATAGCACTGGACGATAAAATAAGTTACATATAAAACTATAGTTCAACAGAACGCTTAGAATCTTAGCGGTAGCGTTAATAATACGCTAATACAATCATTAAAACACTTACTCTTCACATTCAACGGAACTTTCTTCAGCGACGAAGTTGACAGGTACGAGGCCCTCTCTCCTAGTGGTCAGATGAAGGACTCTCCACCAATCAGGTTCTGCATCGCTCAAGACCTCCATACGGTCGCCCTTGCGGAATGAAATGTCTGAGTCTGCCCGAGCTGTGTACGCACATAGTGCCTTTACTACGCGACGACCGCCGTTTGTTATACCTGCAATTTTTGGGGATTGATTAGAAATTGGATTTTAACAGCTACTTCAAATGATTGATTTTTGAGACGGAAACGAGTAATGTAGGTTATTGATGATCCCGCGCATAGAAAATGGACTTCAAAACAACGAAGAAAGGAAAACGTAGGTAACATTACCTAGTCATAGAATAACTAGCGACCCGCCCCTACTTCGCCCAGGTGCAATGCTTCTAAATTTCTTCTTTTTCTTCAATATTTAATGGATATTATTATACATATAAACTTTACTCTTCAATACTCCTCATCTGATGAAAACACCGCATCAAAAACAGTTGCGCAGTTTAGAAGATTTAAGTCCCTGTACATAGGGATACAGGGACAGTGTAAGCGACTTTGTTTTATACTATGTAGTAATAAAGTAAAATTATCAATAAATAACCTCTACTCACTGTAAAAAAAGCGATAATTCTATCCTTTCCATTGCTATAATTAACTACTCTCGACAAAGTTACAGCTTTTTTTTTGTCAGGAGTAAATCATCACAAGACCTCTCCCGCCCAGGGAAGGCGAGAGAGAGAGAGTGTCAGACTCTTACTGACTAAAAACTCCCCCGTTCGTTCTCCTGCTCTGGGCCGAGGTCCAGAAAGAACCCGCAACCCCAGCGACAAAGTTACAGCTTAAGTTCCTTGCTCGATTATATACACGCATCTAGGAAAGGACGATAAAAGGCAAAACGACATTTTATTTTTCACTCACATTTTCCAGGGTTGCGTGTGCGCACGATATCCGCGGGAGGTCGCGACAGCACTCGTGTGTTGGGTTCTCCCGTATACCGAGTCTCCAGCGACGAGGGGCACGCCGTGAAACCCGCCTCATTCTTGTACGCCGGATATACTGAAACAGGCATAAATAGACATTCATCATTTCTATTTTAAAAATAGTCGCTGGACTAGTTATGACATCGCTGACTGCTCTATTGATGCGGTGACTGCTGAACGGTTAAGTGTTAATGGATTTTTCCAGTCGTTTTTGCTTGAGTGCAATAAATAATCTGAAGACAGGAACTACTCAAACCAAAATGGCGATGTCTCTCTTGGTTGGAGAAAATATATGAATAGAATCTCTTAGATGTACTGTAAAACTGATTGAAAAAGAGTAACCATGGAGTTTTTTGCTCGTTTTTATCCATAGGAATCTACACTTTGGAACGAGCAAATAGCTTCACTAGAGGACAGACGGACAGACTGACACGCTTAATTTTATAGCTCTTGTAATACTTTTTTCCTTTTTTTGCTTGACGTTCAAAAGTGCCTGCTGTGGTCTAATTGAAATAAAGGATTTTGACTTTTTTTTTGAAAAATATGTATTAGAGAATGCTCAGCCAACATGATAGAGAAAAAGCCTGAAAGAAATGTGACAACATGGAACGAATAGACTTTCCTTAAAACTAACACAAGTTACGCAAAAGGATAATTTTGGACGTCACAAGAGCCAGTACGCCGTTACTTAATAATTTAAAGTATACTCAAGACAAGGAGTTTTCGTGAAGGGGTATTTATTTAACACGGTCGGTACTTTTGCTTTAAATATTGACAAACCATTGAAACGTTACTTTTCTTAACGTTTCTCCCTTTACTTTTACGAATCTTACACCGTAGACACGTTAATGTGTAGCTTTTGCTCTCGAAATTCGAAAGAAGGGGGATCTTTTACAAGAGCCAATTTTGATGGATGTTTGCTTTACTAAAACTTTTGGGTCATATTACATCTCATTATAACCCTGCCACTGCTGAGCAAAGATCTCCTCTCACACGGAGAAAGTGTGAGCATCACCACGCTTGCTCGAAGTGGATTGGCAATTTCAAACTCTCATCAATTATTATAAATTAGAAATTATAAGTTCAGGTTTCCTCATGATGTTTTCCTTTGTCAGTGGGGTCTAAATAATCTTAGAAAGTACATATAACTCGAAAAGTCACATTTTTACTTGACCCGCACTCTCGTGTATGAGAAGCGGGCGGCTTAACCTCCAGGCCACCACGACAATTCTATTTATATTGGGTTACATCTACTAAACGTTTTCTTAACAAATGAATTGACCGACACGTGTTTCTTAACCGTTAGGATAAATTCAGTTCCAATCACCCTTGACCTTTTAGAGTAGCGGTAATTAATAACATCGAATCTGTAATTGCCGTTTGATTCATATGCCCATTGAGGTGCAATTAATATTGTTTTCAAACAATGCATGTGACCTCAAACCGACTTCTAAGTAGAATAGTAACGAATGTACGCGAATAGCGTCTAATGGGCGGCTTTTTAACATCGTGCGAAAAAATCTAGCACCATTGTTCTTTTCAAGGAAATTGCTTTGCTATAAATATAAAATCTTGTGAGCTTGGTTTCGTCCTTTTTATTTATTTCAAGGTTACTTTTGGGTGCGCAATTAAGATGTTAGTTATAATATTAATTGTTTGAACGTAGATTTTGTTATTCATAAACCAAATTGTTAATTTTGTAGTTACAGTAGTGGTCGTAATATTTAGTTGCGAGAGTAGCTTTATTTACTAGACTGTATACACAATATTACCCTATTTGTTTTCGCCAAGTAAAAGGGTTTCTGGGTCTTAAATAAATTATACAGGGAGAAGAAAATTACAGAGACATCACGGGACTTTAATCGAGTTGTTTCTCAAGATCGATTTTACGTCTCGCTCCTTATTTTCGAAAGGGTCCGTCTATTGTAGCTGACTTTTGGAAGGAAAGTTCACTTATGGACCACTAAATTGGACGTAGACGCGCATTTCGTAACCTATTTTTGATTGAAAAAAAAATGAAAAAAATGTTTATTACTAAAAAGTATTTTACATTATGGTTATACCCTATACTCGGAATTTTAATTCCATTCCAGATTTGACAATTTCAGTGTTGCAACGTTATGACACGCAATAAATAGTGACGTTGCGAAATTATTCGATATGGAAATCGAATATTTCTGAATCGATTCCTCTCGTTTATAAATTTACTCTCGTAAACTAAGTTTATCAGGAAATAAAATATTTCTGAACCGATAATTTAGTTTTGACAATTAATTAACGATTTGAGACTTTTCTTTTGTAATTTTGTGTGAAATTAATAAAAAATGCGATCATGAAGGAACGTGACAAATAAAACAGACATTTTATAAATTGTCGCCGTCATCGCTATCGCTATCGCCGTTACTCTATGTAACATTTATTATGAATTGTGTCTGTGATATTTATTGTCAATTAACATATCTAGCTTACTAATTTTTTCCTCCTCTTTGAAAACATGGGATACACATTTAGACCATTCGGTAGCCGTAATATTTTGAATGCCTTCCTGAAACTGATTTACTGATTGTTTATCGATTTTTGTGTTCATCACTACACTGTTATATGTGGTATCATTATTTCACAAAATGACAGTGGTCAATGTCAAATCAGGAATCGAATTATAAGTCTGACTATAGATCCTATACTATTGATTGATTAGAAACGTTCACTTTAAGTAAAATTTTTTATTGAATGCAATTCCAACTGCATGCGTACTGCTTAAGTTCTTGTTTTATATCTACGAGACAATTCTGTGTAGAATATTCAAATCATATTGCAATATTTGTAGAATGATTAAAGAGCTTATAGCAATATAAACAAGGAGCAAAGTCCTGTAACATGATATAACTTACCCAAAGGCCTATCTGGGTCATGACGGCGGCTGCAGCACTTGTTACCCATGGCGCGGCCCGCCGGTTACGCCGCGCCAAGCCGCTCCTGAAATTAAAAGAAAAATGACATTAGCGACATAGAAACATGGCGTTCAACAACGGGCTAGTTTTGTGTATTCATATTCAGGGGTTATGTTTTTTATTACTAGCGTAGATTTAAGCAAGTTGAGTGGTAAGTTCTATTTGATGCCTTAAAGATTTGAAACCAATGAATTACCTATGGTTTCGCTTCTAATTGGCTGATCTAGAAATTATTTAATATTTGGATATCTTGTTTTTTTATGATGATGGTGAATATTAAGTGTTAGGTTTTATTTAAATCAATACTTCTTTATAATTAATTAATGAAGACTATATATAGTGTTTCATTGTCCTCGTTATCCTTCCCAATTATTTGATAGAGTGTGGATGTGATCTAACTTAGAAAACAGATGATTCTTTGAGAGTTCTTTAATATGATAACGTTTTCCCTGTGATGAAACTCTTATTAATACCGTTATTAAGCACAATTTTGTGTTGCGAAGATTTTTCCGATTACACACCAAATCTAAAAACACATTGCAACAAAACACGGAGCAACGAACTGAGTACAGTTCATACAAATTATCAAACCCCCGCGGGAATGAACTACATAACATGGCCAAGCCGATCACAATGAACCAAATAAATTCATTGATAAAATGTAAAAACATCTAGTTTACACTTAGTAGATAAATATTATACAAGAAATTCTTGCGTCTTTAATATATCAGGAGTGTAGTTTACAAAAAGCTTATGTAGTTATCACTGTAAAGAAATATGTAGGTTATATTAACATGGTTATCTGTACTGATAATAACGAAAACAACGCTCTAGTTTATGTAAACCATGATATGCTTTGGTACTTCTGTTTATATTTCTAGTAATTTATACATTTAAAGTTACAATTTCGTTTAGCTCGAAAAGTATTAAATGTCAATTATAACAAAGGAAGAGATTGATTTAAACAATATATTTACTTTAAGCAGGTTATAGACAGCCGATCGCAGTCTTTTTCGGGAATAATGTCTAGATTCAGCTACATCTAGCTAAGGCTATCTGACTGACTGACCATAACTTACTAACTTTAAACATTCGCGTTTCAGTTAACATTTAATTTATAAGTTTGAAAAAGCAAATTTCCCTTTCTCGAAAAGCCATCATATTACTTATGTAAACTTAATTTCGTCAATCCATTTTTCCAGAATGTTGCTTACATAGGAGAAGCAGTAATATAAATCCTTTTTTTATATGACATTACAGTTCCTACACTCCGTCTGTTATTAAAATGGAAAGTGTGCGTTTTTCCGAGACTCTGCGTACCAGCAATGGGGTAATACGACTAAATTATGGAGCAATAAAAATATATAATGTGCCGACTCTGAGGATGTACCTATCTATTTCGTGTTGTGGTAATATGTATGGGGTGGATGGGAAATGGGTTAGAATGTGTCAAAGATAATAAAAATATTGGAAGTACTAGTGTCTTCGCGGTTTACGAGACTGATAAAGCGAGTAGTTCTGACTAGGTCTTTTTTTTCAGGGGATAATCATCAATTGGCCTCTCCCGCCTAGGGTAAGGCGAAAAAGAGTGTCAGACTCTTACAGACTAAAACCCCCCGTTCCTTCTCCTGCTCTGGGCCGAGGCCGTGGTGACTCATTGCGCTTAACCCGCAACCCCGGCTGAACGTCAGCCCTATAGCCCTATAGCCCCCTCTGTGAGTTCTGACTAGGTCTGATGTGGCAATCTTAGCCAAAGCATTATTCCCAAACAGCTGGCAGTTTCCAAAATATTTCCTTTACTTTCAGCACAGTAAGAAAGAAATTATTTTCTAATTCCATCACAATTTAGATTCATTCCTTCGTACTTGAACGTTTGATAGCTAGAAAGGCCATGTTCCGTTATCAGTTGGTGCTAATGAACTTGCTCTGTTACCCCGAGTTTTGATAAACGGTGTAGCGATAACTTATAACAAAGTGTAATAACCATGGATGCGTCCAATTACGACAGGAAGTTAATTCATTGCTGCATTTCATTTTATTTCTGGCTGCCATATTGATAAGGATATATCGGCTAATATTGTGAAATGAGTGCCGTATTTATAATGAATTAAATCAGTAGTTGTTCGTAAGTTTCGATAAAATTATCGTTGGTATTTTGCTTGTTTGTTTCTAGGACAGAGGCCAAAAGAGCAGAATGATTACCTGATGTTAAATCATCAGTCGCTCGTGGACGCTTGCTACACTAAGAGTTAAAAGCACCAATGCTGGTCAGTGACTTTCTCTATAGAAATACATACTAGTTATAATTTAGTCCCATTGTAATAGGCAGTAAGTCTTTAAAAAAATTGGGCATGATTCAAAAATCCGTTTAATTACTTATGAAATCTTTAATAGCTATTTGGTCTGAAGCAGAGATCGTCGACACGATCACGTATTGCATGCGTCAGTCACATAATATGAATTTAGTATGTTAATATGTATAACATACTATAATAATATGAATTTAGTATTATAGTATGTTATACATATTAACATACTAATAGAACGAACTACGACACAGAAGCTATACATTTATAAAATGATTTAGGAAAGGAAAAGTTATGATATCGAACGTAAATTATAAAATTAAATATGATACTTAAGCAAGGTTCCATTAAATGAGTTGTATATTCAATAGATAGGTGCACGGGCCTGGAGCTTAGTGGCTGGGCTCCTTGCCTTTAAAAACTGCGATGTCCATTCCGCCAGCCAAACGCGGAGGCAATGCAAATCTTATATATAGAGAGAAAACTTATTGTTTATTACCGGACAGTCAGAAACTGTCGGGTAGTGGTAATGGTGGCTTTTTTGAGAAGGGAATATCATCCAATTCATTTTTTCTCAACCACGTTGGAGCGAGAGGAAGTGTCAGTCTCTTTCTGACTAAAAAAACACATCGTTCCTTCTCCTGCTCCGAATCTGGGCGGCTAGTTCATTAGGCTTGCACCCATAACTACAGCTGACTCCTAACTTGTAAACGGTTTATTAGGACTGTTTAGCAAATTGTAGTGTATGTATTTTATTCCATATAAATGAAGTTTTCATAACACGTTTCAATTTATATTATGTATATTGTTAGTATTATGTTTTCGTTATGGAGTAGTTAAACAAGTGACCGAGACTCGGATATCCTCTAGGATTTCCGGCCCTTTGGTCAGTGAGACCCACTGGTGCAGAACTGAAGCGACCCTTTGTACCCCCATGGGCACAACTAAGCGGTTGAAAATATCCCTTCGCAAAGTGAACTAAGAAAAGAATAATCAATACTATCGGGTATGAAAACAAACCAAATTAGGAGTAATTCAATTCGGTAACTAATTGATTTTACGGTTTTATTAGTTCTCTGAACCTTATTTCACAGAAATAAGAACATTATTTTCCACCATTTAGGTATTAGGGAAGTCTGTATCACTAATAATTTTAATATCTGTAGATAATCTACACTAGCGACCCGCACCGGCTTCGCACGGGTACAACGTTGATACAAAATTTATCATAACTATCGTGAGACATACTAAATTAACTAAAAACGCGACGTCGCCGCGTCCGCGCACGCTGCTCATGAGGAAGAACCCCTCTGTGGTTCGAAACTTGTAGAGCTGTTCTCAATATTTACACGTGAGTAACGCGATTTTTAGTTAACAAAATTTATCTACTAATTAATAGATGTTATTAAAGTTCCTTTTCAATTACTCTATCTATTCAAAAGAACTACATCAAAATCTGTTGCGTAATTTTAAAGATTTAAGCATACAGATATAGGCACAGAGAAAGCAACTTTGTTTTATACTGCAGTTATTTTCAGTTCATTAATTAATTAGACAATAAAATTCTTCAAGCTAATCATTTATTTTGGCAACTAGAATTTACCAACTAAACAAATGAGTAGGAAATGTCGCTAATAAATTGATTTATTAATAGTACATTGTAGCTATTGAAATTTAACATAGCCTTATTTAGGGAAATAAGATTTTGATGTCAAAACAGGAAAAAATATTTTTGCCGCTTTTATATTAAATACATAATTTTAAATAAAGTGAAATTAGTTGTTTACTGACGTCTTTCTACAAGTCTATTTAAATAAAATAGTAGGTAAGTAACTTATTATTTTATTAAAAAGAAAGTATTTGGAACCAGTTACCTTTTGGCACTTATGTGAATACTTCAATACGGTAGCGATACTCAAGATCTAGACGGATGTTAGAACACATCCATACGTTGCCGGTCTTTTGGGGTTAAGTATTTGACGATGGAGGTATGAGGAAGAGCTATTGGGCCTTAAAACGAAAACAAAGAAACATACGAGGGTAAGGCGAGACAGAGTGTCAGACTCTTGCTGACTAAACCTCTCCCCCTTCCCCCCGTTCCTTCTCCTGCTCTGGGCCAGTGACTCATTGCGCTTAACCCGCAACCCCGGCGAGGGGCTGGGAGTACCGGTTAGCCATATTGAACACTTTGACGAAATAAGTCATTAATGCCTTTTTATCATCAAAATTAACGTGCAAAGCACGTGCATTAAAATTAGTCCTAAGTACAGGTACATGGTTAATTACATACAAGTTCCATCGAAAGCTTTTATCTACCCCTTATCGATGGCCTAGTTGAAATGGATCGTAGTTCCCACGGCTACAGCTTATGATAACAGCAGAGATATCGGAATAATCATTATTTGCTAATGATTACAACCGTGATTTATAGTTACAAACACGTAACTTGATTAGAAGTATGAAAGATATGGCATAGTTGTTAGTTTTTTGCTATTTAGTTTTCTTATCATAGCGTAATGTCACGTTTTTTTCGGGAAATGGCACAGGTGCGCATTATTAAATATAACCAGAAATACCAGAAATTAAACTAATACTTGACATACACTGCGAACTTGATCTTTCTATCTTTAACGATTAAATAGAAGACTTCTTTGTTAAGGCATTGCTTTATAAGTCTTGTGATCAGATATGCACTACAGGCAATGTGGTTAATAGTTAT